ACTGCTCCTGAGCCCCTACCCGGGCCAGCCCCACTGGGCCCGCCTGCCTGGCCACTCCCTGGGGAGTGCAGGGGAGCTGGGGAGGGAAACGCCCCTTTCCCAGGCTCAGACCCACCCACCCCCCAGAAGAACAGGAGCTTCTCCCAGACCCACACAGCCCCCGGAGGCCCAGCCACCAGCTCAAAGCTGTGCCCAGCCAGGCCCCCGAGGCAGGCAGAGCCCTGGAGGAGGCCGCGTGGCGGTGGCCGCTGGGTCTTTGGGAGGCCCCCCCCCCAGCACCTGCTGCCTCCAGACCCCTGCTCCCAGGCCCTACTCCCGGCCCCTGCTCCCGGGCCCTGCTCCCGGCCCTGCTCCCCTGCTCCCCGGCCCTGCTCCCCGGCCCTGCTCCCGACCCTGCTCCCGGGCCCTGCTCCCCTGCTCCCCAGCCCTGCTCCCCTGCTCCCCGGCCCTGCTCCCGGCCCTGCTCCCCTGCTCCCCGGCCCTGCTCCGGACCCTGCTCCCGGGCCCTGCTCCCCTGCTCCCCGGCCCTGCTCCCCTGCTCCCCGGCCCTGCTCCCGTCCCTGCTCCCGGGCCCTGCTCCCGGGCCCTGCTCCCGGGCCCTGCTCCCCTGCTCCCCGGCCCTGCTCCCCGGCCCTGCTCCCGGCCCTGCTCCCCTGCTCCCCGGCCCTGCTCCCCGCCCCTGCTCCCGACCCTGCTCCCGGGCCCTGCTCCCCTGCTTCCCGGCCCTGCTCCCCGGCCCTGCTCCCCTGCTCCCCGGCCCTGCTCCCCTGCTCCCCGGCCCTGCTCCCGGCCCTGCTCCCGGCCCTGCTCCCCTGCTCCCGGGCCCTGCTCCCGGCCCCTGCTCCCGGGCCCTGCTCCCCTGCTCCCCGGCCCTGCTCCCGGCCCTGCTCCCGGCCCTGCTCCTGGCCTTTGCCTGAATCAAAACAGGGCGGGGGCAAGAGTGGGGTCTGGTGGCCGCCTGAGTCCCCAGACTGTGGAGCTCGGCGCTGCACTAAGCCCCAGCTGCCTGTCGGCACCAGGGGCCACCTCTCGGCTGCAGGGCGGGGAGGCCCCCAGGCCCCAAGGCCCCCCAGAGCAGAAGTGGAGCCCGAGTGCGGCCCAAACACAGAGTCAGCCCCTGACGGCTCTGGTGGGCTCCGGGGGGAGGCGGGGCCTGGAGAGCGGCGGGGCCCGGACAGAGGCGGGCCCTGAGGGAGGCGGGCTTGGAGGGGGCGGGGCTCGGAGAGAGGCGGGGCTGTTGGGAGGCGGGGCCCGGGTAGGGGGCTTGGAGGGGGCGGGGCCCTGGAGGCGGGGCTGGTGGGAGGTGGGTCCCGGGGGCGGGGTCGGAGAGAGGCGGGGCCGGGATGAGGGAGGCGGGGCTCGGAGGGAGGCGGGGCCTGGAGGCGGGGCCTGGATGGAGGCGGGGCTCGGAGGAGCGGGGCCATGGAGGCGGGGCTTGGAGGGAGGCGGGCCCCGGGAGGGGCTTGGAGGGGCGGGGCCGGGAGGGGCGGGGCCCGAGGGTGGGCGGGGCCCGCGGCCGGACACCTGGGCCGCCGGCCGCGCGGGTGGACGGCGCCGAGTGGCGCCCGGAGCCGGCGGGCGCTGGCGGGCGCTGGGCAGGGGCAGCCGTGAGCGCGGGCGGGCCGGGCCTGCCTTCCTGGCGCCACGGCCGAGCGCGCCGGCGGGAGCGGGCGGGCGGGCGGGCCCCGGGTGCGGCGACCCTGCGTCCCGGGGGCGCGTCGGCGCGGCGGGGGCAGCGGGCGGCCGGGCCGGGCGCGCTGGGGGCGCCCCCGGCCGGGCTGCCCACCCGGGGCCGGTCCCCGCGGGGTGGGGCGCGAGGGCCGGCCGGGCCCGGCACCCACCTGCCGGCGGCGGGCGGGCGGGCGGGCGGGCGGGACCTCGCGCCGGGTCGGGCGGCCCCGGCCTCGCCGGCCGCGCGGGCCCCTGGCCGGGCTGGGGCGCTCGGCGGCCCCGCGGAGGGCGGGAGGGCGGGGCGCGGCGGGGGCGCTGGCCGGGCGGGCGGGGGACCCTCGGCCGCCTCCTCCCGCCCGCCCCGCGCGCCCCGCCCCGCCCCGCGCGGCGGCCGGGAAGTTGGCGGCGGCGGCGGCCGGGGCGCGGCGGGAGGCGGCGGCGAGGGTCCCCCGCCCGGCGGGCAGCGCGGACTGAGAGCGGCGGCGGCGCGGGACGGGCGGCGCGAGCGGAGCCCGGGGCGCGGCGCGGTGAGCACGCGGGGCGGCCCGAGGGACGGGCCCGGGCGGCCGGGGGTCGCGGGCGGAGCCCCCCTAGCCGGCCTCGCCCACCCGTCCTGCCGCCCCGCACCCCTGCCCTCTCCGCACCCCAGCTGCCCCCGCCCCGGGCCCCCAGGATGACCCCGAAACCGGCAGGTCCACCCGAGGCTCGCAGCCTGCGTCTCCCCCACCGCCCTGCCCCCCAGGGCCCCCCAGCTCCCCGTGCCAGGGGCAGCAGCCCTGCCAGGGAGGCCCACGCTGTGACTTTGCCCCATGGCCAGTGCCGGTCACTGCCCTGCCCGCCTCTCCAGCGGCCGCCACCCCAGGCGCTGACCCACGGCGGAGCCCACCTGCCCCGGCCGGCGCAGCGACTCCTCTGTCCCCCGCGTGGGGTGAGGGTTGGAGGGGAGTCGTTTCCCCGGTGGCCGGCGGCACCCGCCAGGCAGCACCCGGCACCCTGCCCCCCGGCATGGGGGAGGGCTCCGGAACCGCTTTGTCAACAAACAGCCGTGGCCCCTGCTCCTGCCCCCGGGGCCGTGACCTCCCCTGCTGGCCCCGCTTCCACTGAACACCCGAAGGCACAAGCCTCCACCCCGCGCTGGGAGCCCCCGCCCGCCCCTCCGCTGCCTGCGCGCCGGGCCACCCGCAGCCTGGGGCGCCTCCCGGGCCCAGGTTCGGGGGTCCCGGGGATTCCCAGCGGGAACGGTGGGCCCAGCACCCCACGTCCTGGGTTCTGCCAGGCGCAGGGCCGGGCCGGAGGGCAGCTGGGTGGACGGGTGGGGGAGGGGAGGGGTTGGGAAAGAGGAGCCGGCGCGGCGGCGGGGACGGTGCCCGAGAGCCCGCCGCTGTCCTCGGAGACGCCGGCCCAGCCCGCCACGCGCACGAGCCGGGTCGCCGGTTCTCCGCCGGAGAAGGGTCAGCTCCGGGCACCGCCCGCGTGTCCGGGGCCCGGCCAAGGCTGCCGCCATCTCCGCCCCCGGCTGCCCGCGCCCGTCCGCTCGGCGGACCCTGACCTGTCTGTGCCACCGCTGGACCCTCGGCCGCCGGGCAGGGCTGGGCCTGGGCATGACCCTGAGCCCTTCCATCGAGCTCCGGTGCCCCCGGCCGCAAGGAGGCGGGGCCCGCTTCACACCGGCCCTCGCCGTGGGCCAGCCCCCACCTGGGCGCCAGGGCAGCCCCGCCCTGCCCAGCCCAGTCCCTCCGCACCCCGCCCTGCCCGGCCCCTGTCCAGGGATGTCCCGCGATCTCCGGGCCTCGCTCTGGAAGGGCCCCTGCCTCTGCGCCTGCTGCTGCGCGGGGAAGCCTGGCCGGCCACCCTGGGCCTGCTCTGGGAGGTGCTGCGGCCCGAGCCCAGGGGCCTGGTGGCACGGGTGCCAGTGCCAGCGTGGGCCCCCGGCCCAGACTGCTGTGGAGGGAGGCGGGGAGCCCAGAGCAGCCCCCCCACCCCACCCCGGGCGCAGACGGACGCCCGGCAGAAGAGCCGGTGAGCCACGGCCTGCTGGCCGGGCCCCTGACAGCCCTGCGGCCGGGCGGCCGGGCTCCGCCTCAGGGGGCTGGGGGACCCCAAGGCAGCGGTGAGCCGTGCGCCATCACGCCGAGCCGGGCCACAGGGCCCAAGAGCTCCTGGCTGGGCTGCCCCCCCGCCCCGGGCCTCCCAGCAGGAGCAGCTGATCGGGCGGCGTCCCTCCCCTGCACCCCCTGCCTTGTCTCCACTGGCCTCTCGCCTCCGCCGGCGCCTCTCCCTGGCCCCCGGCGCCTCACGCTGCCCGGGCCACCCCGAGCTGGCCCCCCCATCTCCCCAGGCCCCGGGGCAGCCGGCAGGACGAGAAGGGCTGTTCCCGCGGCACCTGGCCGCCAGGCGGGCGAGGGGCAGCAGCGGGCGGTAGGCCGCAGGCCCTGGGGGGCCCCGGGGCAGGGACGCCTGCATGTCCCCGACCTCAGCCGCTGGCTGCCTCCTCCGCGGCCGCTGGGCCCGGTGTCCACCCTGGGCCTGGGCTCACCCAGTCCTGGAGCTGGGAGCAGTGACTCTTGGGGGGGTCTGGCATCCTCAGCCCACCCGTGCCTGTACCCCAGGACCAGGCCTGGCGGTCGTGACCCAGTTGCCCCCCTCACCCTGGGGGTCTCGGGACCCCACGCGGGCCCACCTGGGCTCCGGTGTAAGGGAGCTGCAGTCCAGGACGGCCCTGAAAGTGCCCCCCTCAGCCACAGCCCGGCCCCTCCCCCCGGGTGTCCCCAGCTGACCACATGTCCCTCCAGGATTACTCGCTTGGCGCCAGGGTGCCCGGAAGTCCTGGTCCCCAATCCTGGAGCTCGCCGAGGCAGCCCAAGGGGCCCCACCCCGCTTCTCCCTGCTCCCCGTGGAACTAAGCCCGAGCAAAAGAAGGGCCCCGGCAGCAACAGGGGGTGATTTAGAGGGCTCCCGCCCAGAACCCCACAGGCGCTGTAGCCCACAGGCTCCACGTGGGCAGGCGCATTGGGCCTGGCAGCAGCGCCATGGCCAGGGAAGGGCACCGGCCGCCTGGTGCTCCCTGGGCCGGCAGCCTCACCAGAGCCTGGAGTGGGCTCGGGTCCTAGGAAAGGGGCCGGTGGGTGCCAGGGACACCCTAGGCCTGTGGCCGGCACTCCTGGGCCCGCCCGGCCGGGAGCTGGCACTGGGGCAGTGATGGATGGCCTGGCACCGCCCGCCGCTGACTTTCCCAGGGCCTAAGAATAGGTGGGCGGGGGGGGGGGCGGCGGGGGGAGGGGCTGGGGGGGATGGGCGGCTGGGGCGCCGGCCCCCACTGACAACTTCAGGGCCAGGCAGGACTCTGGAGGCCCCAGCAGCGGGGGCACCCGCCCGAGGCTGGGGAAACCCAGCTCCACCCAGGACGCGGCCAGCCCCCTGACCTGCAGGACCCCCGGCGCCTGGCCAGACCCCGGCCCGGCCTCGGCGGAGAGCGGCTGCCTCGGTGCCTCCTCCCTCCAGCCCGGAGTCCTGCACAGGCTACAGAGGCGGGGGCTGGTCTTACGGGGGCAGGGCACCCCCGGTCTCCTCACTCCTGGGGGCCCCTGTGGCTCTGACTCCCAGCAGCCCCTGGAGCGGTGTGTCCACCCACAAGGGCCCCTTTGCGCCAGCAGTGAGGCCCCAGCCAGATGTGGGGGGCAGCTGCCCAGAGGCATGCCCCCCACCCAGTCCCACCACCCCCACCTGCTGCTGCTGCTGCTGCTGGTCTGTCAGGTGAGCGCCCACCCCACCCGGCCCCACCCTGGCACCCCAGCGCCCCCCCCACCCCCGCCCCGCGCACGGTGTCCCAGCCCCCACCCCCCACCCCCGTGCCTTGGCGCCCCAGCCCCAGCCCCCTCACCCACGGTTCCCCAGCCCCTGGCCCCCGGGGCGCAGGCGATGGACTCCCTGCTGGCGCGGTGGCGGCTGTACCGGGACCAGTGCCTCCGCAACCTGAGCCTGCTGCCGCCCCCCACGGGTAAGGCTCCGCCTGGCCCTCCACACCCCCAGCCCCCACTTGCAGGTGAGGAAACTGAGTCACAGAGAGGCCAGTGACCTGCCCGAGGACACACAACCAGGACACGTAACGGGGGTGGTGGGGTGGTAGGAACCGGGTGTCGCGCCCCTCCCTGCTGCGGGGCAGCCCGGGCCCAGGCCCCCCAGACCTGGGACCGGGGGTGGGCCTTGGGGGCAGCCTGAGGAGCGGGGCAGACCAGGCAGCTGCCCGGGGGGTTGGCCAGGCGAGGGAGGAGGCGTAAATCAGGCGATCCGGGCCTGGCAAGGGTGCCCACAGGGAGAGGTGTGCTGGGAGAGGGGCTGGGGCGGGGGGCGGCGCCGCTGGAGGTGTGGGGTGTCGGAGGGACGCTGGCTGGGCAGAGCTGGAGCTCAGGACCAGGCGGGAGGCCAGGGGCTGCCCGCCCAGGAGCGGGAGATGGTCACAGGGCTTCCGAGGGCCGGAGGGCCCACAGCCGGGCCCCGCTGAGGATCCCCGGCCCCCACAGAGCTGGTCTGTAACAGAACTTTCGACAAGTACTCCTGCTGGCCGGACACCCCTCCCAACAGCACGGCCAACATCTCCTGCCCCTGGTACCTGCCCTGGCATCACAAAGGTACTGCCCTTGGCACCCGCCCCGGCACCGCAGGGCGGCCTGGTCGGGGCCGCAGGGGAGCTGACTGGGCCTGCCCCTCCCCAGTGCAGCACCGCCTGGTCTTCAAGAGGTGCGGGCCCGACGGGCAGTGGGCGCGAGGGCCCCGGGGGCAGCCGTGGCGGGATGCCTCCCAGTGCCAGATGGACGAGGCTGAGATGGAGGACCAGGTCAGCGATCGGGGCGCGGCCGGGCAGGGCGGGGTGGCCCAGCCTCCTGAGCAGTCCCGCGGTTCGCAGGAGGAGGAGGCCAGGATGTTGGCCAGCTTCCGGGCGATGTACAGCGTGGGCTACTCCCTCTCACTGGCGGCCCTGCTCCTGGCCCTGGCCATCCTGCTGGGCCTCAGGTAGGCGGCCGGCCGGCGCCCGGGGCGCGGGGCCCGCTGCGGGCGGCCGCTGACCTGCCGTCCCCGCAGCAAGCTGCGCTGCACCCGGAACTACATCCACGCCCACCTGTTCCTGTCCTTCGTGCTCAAGGCCGGCTCCGTGCTGGCCACCGACGCGCTGCTGCAGACCCGCTACGGCCAGCAGATCGGCGACGACCTCAGCGTGAGCGTCTGGCTGAGTGACGGGGTGAGCCGCCCGGCCTCGGGCGCGGGGGGCCGGGGCCATGGGCCCCAGCTCACGCCGCCCCTGCGGCCAGGCGGTGGCCGGCTGCCGGGTGGCCGCGGTGTTCATGCAGTACGGCGTGGTGGCCAACTACTGCTGGCTGCTGGTGGAGGGCCTGTACCTGCACGGCCTGCTGGGCCGCCCCGTGCCCCGGAGGAGCTGCTTCCCCCTCTACCTGGGCATCGGCTGGGGTGAGTGGGTGGTGCCATGGCCAGGGGCAGAGGGCGGGTGGAGGGCGGGCCCAGGACCACAGCTGCCCCCCCCCAACAGGGGCCCCCATGCTATTCGTCATCCCCTGGGCGGTGGTCAAGTGTCTGTTCGAGAACATCCAGTGAGTAGAGCCTGGGGCGGGGCCTGGCCAGGCAGCGGAGGGTGCACTGAGCCAGCGGGGGGGGGGGGTGGCGGAGGGGGGGGGCAAGAGCATTCGGCGCCCTCCTTTCGCGAGGCGCTGGCTGGGCCCGGGTCCGCGCGGGGCGGGACTGAGCCGCCCACCCCGCAGGTGCTGGACCCGCAATGACAACATGGGCTTCTGGTGGATCCTGCGCGCCCCCGTCTTTCTGGCCATCCTGGTGAGGACCGCGCTGGGCCCTCCCTCCCGGCGGGGCGTCCTGCCTGGGAGGACAGGGAGGGGCGCGGGGCCGCCTGGGGAGGGCCCTGACCGGCCTCGCCCGCAGATCAACTTCGGCGTCTTCGTGCGCACCCTGCGCATCCTGCTGGCCAAGCTGCGCGCGCGCCAGATGCGCCACTCCGACTACAAGCTCCGGTGCGTGCGGGGCGCCGGCGAGCAGGGCGGGGGAGCCCCTAGGGCCGCTGGCTCAGGCTGCACCCCCACAGGCTGGCCAAGTCCACGCTGACCCTCATCCCCCTGCTGGGGGTCCACGAGGTGGTGTTCGCCTTCGTGACCGACGAGCACGCGCAGGGCGCCCTGCGCTCAGCCAAGCTCTTCTTCGACCTCTTCCTCAGCTCCTTCCAGGTGGGCGCTCCCCCCCCGCCCCCCCCATGACCCCCGGCCGCCGCCCCGCTGACCCCGCTCTGCCCCGCGCAGGGCCTGCTGGTGGCCATCCTCTACTGCTTCCTCAACAAGGAGGTAGGTGGGGCCTGGGGCCGCCAGCCCGGGACCCTGCCCCGCCCACGCTGGGGCGTGAGCCCTGCACCCCATTTCCAGGGTGTGGGTCAGCCTGGCTCTCCCTGGGTGCACAGCCCTGGGTCCCCAGTGGAGCTGGCGCCCCCGGGCCAGAGCGGGGGTCGGGAGGGTCCCAACCGGCCGCCCGCCCGCCAGGTGCAGTCGGAGCTGCTGCGGCGCTGGCACCGGCGGCGCCTGGGCCGGGCTCTGCGGGAGGAGCGCCCCGTCAGCCTTCCCGCCTCGGCCCGGCCACCCGGCAGCCCCCCCGGCAAGAAGCTGCTGCTGTCTGGGGGCGGCGGCCAGGGCGCCCGCCGGGACCCCTCTTCGGACACCTCCCCGGCCGGCCACCTCCCCGGGTCGGCCGAGTGTCCCTTCTGAAGCCCCCAGAGCCCACAGTGGCGCGGACCGACCGGATGGAGTGCGGTGGCCGAGGGTGGGGCCTCCCCTGTCCGGCCCTGCCCGGCGTGGGGCGGCGCCGCGGGGGCTCCGGGAGATGTGTGTCCGCAACAATAAAGAGCTGAGCAGCGCGCGGGCTGAGCCGGCGGCCGGGGTCTCCAGCTGCGCGCGACAGAGGCCTCCTGCTGGGGTGGGGGCATTCCCACGGGGCGCCCCATGTCACAGATGGAGTGGGGACCCCAGATCGAGGGGCGGCCAGCAGCACACCCCGATCCTGGTTCAGGTGGGGTGCGCCTCATCCCCATGCAGGCCAGTGGGGGCAGTCCTCTAGTTTTGCCCCCCACCGTTCGCCAGTTGGGGGCCCTGAGGGATGGTGACGGCCTCTGTCCTGCACCGGCTCCGCCCTTCTGCCCTGGCCCTGCCGTGACGGCCCCGGTGTCCCTGCGCCCCGGCCAGGGCAGGCCTTTCAGCCCACCCAGGGCCGGGGGCCTTGGCTTCATGCCCGCTCCAGCCGCCTGGCGAGCCCCAGCCCACGTGGCAGGACGCAGTGGGCGAAAGGAGCCCATTTGCAGTGGGCCGAGTGACCAGAACCTGGCCCACCCCAGCCCCTGCCAGGTGCAGGCGGCCGGCGGGCGGCAGGGGTGGCCGCCCGGGGAGGAGCTGCGGGTCCTGCAGGGGCCGGGGGCAGGAGGGGTCACTGCCGGGCAGGCTGGGCCAGGTCCTCTGTGGGTGGGCGCGCTGCGCCAGGAGAAAGGGGCTGAGGCGTAGAGGGCCAGCGGTGTCCCCGCGCTGGCCAGGGAGGGGCCCCCGCAGCCGCTGCCTGGCCACGTGGGCTGGAGCTGCTCAGGCAGAGCCGGGCTAATTGGAGCAAATGAAAGGACAGGCGGCCTCTCAGGAAAGGTAAATAGAATTACTCCCCCGCCAGGCACTGGGGCCCTCCTGAGGGGGCCTCACTGGTGCCCGGGCCCACCCGGCAGAGGGGGGCTCCCTAAGGCAGGCGCTTCTGGGCCAGGGGGTTCGTGTGATCCTAGTGGGCACCTCCCACAAGGGGCAGTGGCGGGGCCGGCCCTAGGCCCGACCTTGAGCCTCCAGGCGCCCTGTCCCGAGCGCCCGGCCCCGGCCATGGAGCCCCGACGCCCGGCGCCTGAGTGGGCGGGAGCCGGCACGGGGCGGGCGCCGTCTCCTTCACGCCCGCTGAGCTCGGGCTGGGGACTGCCTTGGGGGTGCTGCTCACCCAGGGCCTCCCGACAACCCTCCCCATGCTGACCCCTCTGCCCTTGTCCTCCTTCAGCCCCGTCCCTGTCCCCGAGAGAACCGGAGCAGGCGGTGAGGGGGGCCGGGCGAGGGCTGGACTCACCCAACCGCCACCGGGCTCTGACCGGGCAGCCTCGCAGATGGGCCGGGGGACGGGCAGGGAGCAGCGCGCCCACCGGGACCAGCACCCACCCAGGGCACGCCCCCAGTGAGCGCACGGTGACGCCGGGGCCTCCGCCCCTCCCGTCTCCGCCTCTCTCTGCACCTCGACCTGGGCCTTCCCCCCAAGAATACATGGGTCCCTGCGGCAGCACCTCACAACGCATGCTGCCGCTGCTGCGAGCAAGGTGGGAGGGAGACCGGCCGCGATACCCAGTGGGGCCGGGGGAGCGCCTCAGGCAGCACAGAGGGTGCGGGGCGGACCCCCGGGGCCAGCGGCTGAGCACCCCAGGCGGGAGGGGGCGCGCCTGCGGGAAGGCCGTGGACGACAAAACCAGTGAAAAAAGGAGGCGATTCCTAAGTCCAGGGAAAACCAAGAGTTTGCCCAGGAAAAGATCACAGTTCACAGGGGGCTCGGCTCGGGCAGGCGACAGGCGCGGCTGCTGGAGCCGGAGCCGGGCGGGCGGGGTGCGGCGCGGCCCAGCGGGACGAGGCCTGGGCGCAGCGGGCGGGCGGGGGAGACCGAAGTGGGGAAACGGGCTGCGACGGTCTTTCAGACGCAGAAAAGCCCAGAGAGCAGGCTGGAGTGAAAATGTCTGACCCTGGGGGAGGGGGTGCCTAGGCCGCCTCCCCCCTTGGGGGCCCCTTGGTCTCCTGCACACGCCCACGCTCCTCCCGGGCCCGCGTCCCGGCGCGTCTGAGCGCGAGGCAGGCCGAGGGCCACTGCTCCCTCCCTTTTTTTTTTTTTTAAGATTTATTAATTTATGCAGCAAGAGCTGGGGTGCAGGCCAGAGGTGCGGGGTGAGGACTCCCCGGAGACAGCGGGGAGCAGAACAGGCGGATCCACGGAGACACAGGGGTGAGGGGGCAGCGGGAGACGGGAGAGGCCTGCTGCGCCGGGCGGGTCACCCCTGGCCGGGGACGGAGAGGCTGCGGGTGGCTTCACAGTGCTGTGCCTATCGCCTGCGCCCCCAGGGAGGCCCCCTTTATCCATCTTAACCAACACGTCGGTGACGCCCATCTGCCCTCCGGCCCCAGAGCCTTCCAAGCTCACAGGAGCCCCAGTTTCCCGCTCGGCTTCTGCTGATGCCTCGACGCCTCCGCTTCCCCATCGGCCCCTGAGACGCGGCGCAGGCCCTTCCTCCCACGTCCAGGCAGCCCGAGCGCACCCCTGCGTCCTCCAGCCCTGCGTCCCCGCAGCCCCCAGGGAGGATGGGCCCGGTGCGCGCCCGCAGCTGCAGGGGTGGGGCTGGAGGGTGTGCAGGGCCCCCCCGGCACAGCCTCTGGGCTGGGGCCCCAGGAGCACACCAAGAACCCCTAAATTCAGACAAGGGAGAAACCAGGAGCCTAGACACCCCACAGGCAGGTGAATCAGGGCTCTGCCGGCCACGCCCAAGGAGAGCAGGGCTGAAGTGGGGTCCAGCCCCGCGCCCGCCTCCCTGAGGTGGCCGTCCTGGGCACAAGAAGGGCAGCGTGGGCCTCCCGGTGGCGCAGCGGTTGAGCGCTGGGTTGCGAAGCTGCGCGCGGCCTCTGCGGCGCCGGTTCGATCCCCGGCTGCTCCCCGGCCACCAGAGGAGGGTCCCACATGGCGCGCAGACCTCTCCTGCCGCCCGCTGCTCCCCTCAGCAGTGTCCTTCGGTCCTTCTGCCTGCTCTGCTCCCGCTCTGGCTCTGGTGAATTCTCTCGCCCTCCCGCACTTCTGACTGTACCCAGTGCATGTATAAACAAAACAAACAAACAAACCAGCAAACAAATAAATAAAGCATGCCTCTATAAAAAAAAAAAAAAAAAAAAAAAAAAAGAAGGGCAGCGAGCATCTCCTGGTGCAGGCCACAGGCTGGGGGACCCCTCCGCTCATCCCTCTGCCCAGCCTCCGCCTCTGGTGCCCCTCTTCTCGCTGAACTGCCCGGCAGGAACCACAAGGGTGGGGACGCGGGGGTGAGGAGGCCTGAGCGGCGTGCACAGGTCCAGGAGGCTGAGCCACCAGCTGGGCAAGGCCAGAGCCCCGGGGCCAGGGAGACATGGGTGGCGCCCCAGTGTGGGTCAGGGTCCCCTTCCCACTGCCACGAGGTTCCAGGAATCCCCCAGCGGGACACCGGCCTAAACCAAGTCAATGTGTAATGCAAGCCTGTCCTTCAGCGTCTCCCCAGGGTGCGGCCTGGGGCACCACCCACCTCCAGGAGAGGCCTGCACCCCCCAGCCCATGCAACCCACTCTGCAGGTGGAGACTTGGGGGGGGGCGGCAGACACAGGGACACCGCCACCACCGCCGCCCAGGCAGCCGCCGGGCCCACAGCCCCCGCAAGGACAGACCTGCAGCCTCACCCGGAGGGACCCTGTGGGCGGCACACCCCACAGCCGGCCAGGCTGGGCCCCCACGCCCCACCTCGGGCAGAGAGCATCCGGGGGCTTCCTGGTTGGGCCCAGCCGGAGGCCAGTGCTCACCCGGTAGCCGGGCCACAGCCACGTGGCTGCAGGGACTTGGCCCAGGGCCCGGCCCCAGCCAGTACCCACTGGCAGCGAGCCACACGGCTGACCTGGTACACAGACCGCCCTCCCTGCACCCCTCCCCGGGGGAGCCCCCCCAAGACGCGGCCTCCTAGAGCCGCCAGGGAGGCCAGTGGAGCCCCGGAATGCTCTTCCGGGAAAGGGTGTTCCAGAAATAAATTCCAGCTTGGCGTGTCTGGGTCTGGCCTGCCAGGCTATCTCCGTGTCTGAAGGTCCCCCTCCACACCCACCTGGCGGCGCCAGCTCACCCTCGGGCGGAGGTGGACACGGCTGCCCCAGGCTCCCCGCCGGGAGGCCCCCGGCTCACCTCCCACCACCGTCATGGAACTCAGGGAGCAGATGGAATCGGGGCTGAGCCTGGCCCCAAGGCCCCCCACCCGGACGGACGCCCCGCGGGGCCGCAGGCGCGGGGCTGACAGACCAGGCGGCGCTCGGTGCCACTGCCTTTATTCACGGCCCCGGGGCTCCCACGGGCACCGCCTGCAGAGGGCCCGGGAAGGAGAGGGGCTTGGGGACCCCCCCAGCACACCACACAGGTCAGGAGCCTCCCAGCAACCCCTCCCACTCAGGGTCAGCCTCACTCCCCTGGCCAGGGGCCCAGGAGAGGTGCTGACCGTGGGAGCGCCAGGGCTGTGCCATCTGGAAGCCGCACAGGGAAGGGGAAGGCCTGACTGGCAGGGGTGGGACCCACTAGGGACAGATGGGGCTGCCCTTAACCGGGCTCCTGGCCCCTCAGGGATGAACCCAGTCCGGCCCATGGCCTGGGAGACGGAGAGGCCCGTCTCCGCGACCCCGGAGGCAGCCATGGGCAGGAGGCAGGGCAGCGCAGGGTGTCGGGAGGGAGAACAGTCAGGCTCAGGGCCCTGGGGCAGGCAGGGCCCGGCAGCTGCGAAGAGCAGCAGGGCCAAGAGGGCCCAGACCCCCCAGGGAAGGGCAGCTGAGGCCCGGGAGGGGCGGCCTCGCGCAGTCTGGCGTCCTGGCCCGGGGTGCGCCCGCGCACGGTGGCGGAGGGAGCGCAGCACCAGGTGGGGGGCGGGGGCAGCCCTAGGACTTCTTGGCGTCCTGCGGGTTCCGGCGCTTCAGGTCGCTCAGGTCGATGGGCTTGAAGGCTGCAGGGGGGACAGGTCAGCGTGGGCGTGGGCCTGGCCCCCGCCCTGCCCCGGGCAGCCGCACTCACTCTTCAGGCTGGGGTTGGGGACCTTCTCCACGTACTCCTCCACCAGGCCCCGCTCGCTCCCCGACATCTGGCTCCGCAGGTCCCGCTCCACACCCTGCCAGGCTGCGGGAGGGCGGTCAGGGCCCGGCAGGACCCGAGGCCCCATCCGCACTGGTCCCCGCAGGACGCAGGGCTGGCCCTGGCCCTCGTCAGCGCCGTCTTCAGCGCACAGGCGCCCGGGACACTTGGGGTCCTGTTGCTACAGAGGCCTCCCAAGCAAGCCCCCCCCCACCCCGCCTCCAGCACAACCCCCAAGCACACAGCCCCCTGGCACCTTCGTAGATGAAGCGCACATTCTCCTCATGGGCCGGCGTGAAGATCTCGCTGCTGCTGGGCGGGGAGCGGGGGCTGCTGTTCCTCTTGCCGTTGTAGACGACTCTGGAGACAGGGGAACTAGGGGAGCCCAATGCGTGAGGACGGTGGGCAGAGCGGCCCTGCCTCCGCCCCTGGTGGCCTCAGACCCACCTGGTCATCGCTGGGGCGTCCGGTCCTGGCCCTCTGCTGCCCGATGCCCTCGGCCTCTGAAAGGGAAGCCCGACACGGGAGTGGGCTCCGGAGGGGGGCCTGGGGGAGCCTCTTCTTCAGGAAGAGCAGGCAGGGGCCCTCCCGGGCCTCGGGATGTGGCTGTCAGCTGGGAGGGAGACGCAGTGCCTCGGGGCGGAGCCGAGGCACCCCACAGCCAGGCATGTGGGGCCCCTCAGCCTGACAGCAGTGTCTGTGGAGCGGGGGGCGGCTCGCGGCAGCCAGAGAGGGTGGCAGCCGCCCGGAGCACCGCCCGCGCTCCGGCCTTCATTTCCTGCCCAGACAAGGAACTGGGCACAGCACCCACGGGCCTCCCGGCCCCAGCTGGGGTGTGGCCACAGAAGCCTGTGGGGCGTGGCAGGGAGAGCGTGGAGGAGCTGCGGTGACCCACGGTGGCCAAGACCCTGGGGTGCTGCCTTTCTCTGGGCCCAAGAGAGTTTACAGCTGGGGGTGGAGTATCTATTTTCTTTTTTTTAAGATTTATTTATTTTTATACAAAAACCGGGTTACAGGCCAGAAGTGTGGGAGGGTGAGAGAACTCACCAGAGACAGAACAGGAAACAGAACAGGCAGACGACAGAAGTACACTGCTGGGCCTCCCAGTGGCGCAGCGGTTGAGCGCTGGGTTGCGAAGCTGCCCGCGGCCTCTGCAGCGCCGGTTCGATCCCCGGCTGCTCCCCGGCCACCGGAGGAGGGTCCCGCATGGCGCGCAGACCTCTCCTGCCGCCCGCTGCTCCCCTCAGCAGTGTCCTTCGGTCCTTCTGCCTGCTCTGCTCCCTGCTCTGGCTCTGGTGAATTCTCTCACCCTCCCGCGCTTCTGACTGTACCCAGTGCTTGTGTAAATAAATAAATACATAAATAAATCTTAAAAAAAAAAAGAAAAAAAAAGAAATCCACTGCTGAGGGGAGCAGCGGGGAGACAGGAGAGAACTACCTCACCATGTGGGATTGTGCCTGCGCCACCGGGGGGGCCCTGGAGTGTCCATTTTTAGGGTAACTCTCTCAGTGGCCAGCTGGCCAGAGTCCCATCTCCAGCTGAGGCCACGGCACCGAGTCAGGAAGCTGTTGGCCTGCCCCAGTCTGGGGTGTCCAGGGGTGGGATGGAGACCGGGGGGCACTCCCCACCCCCCTGGTCCCAGGGCCCGGGCGCCAAGAATGGGCAGCCGCCACCCCCACATGCAGGACCCACCTTGGACCCTGCCGGGTGTGCGCTGGGGCACAGGCAGCAGCGCCCCTATTCTGAAGCCGAACGAGAGAACCACGGGCTCCGCACAGGTAAACACGCCCCACGGCAGCAGCTTCCGGAGGCGGTGCAGCCAGCCCGGCCCTCCCCGCGGGCCTGGGCACCGGACACCAGCCCGAGAAGCTGGGGCGAGGCCGCCCGTCCCGACACAGGCAGTGCAGTGCCTTCGGCCTGGGCCCGCTGCTGCCCTGCCGGCCCTCCCAGGCCTGACGCAGGCTTCTGCGCTCCGGCTCGGAGGCCTGCCGGCTCAGCCCCCGGGCTCTCGGGCCCTCCCCTCGTCTCCAGCGAAGGCCTGCCAGGCACGGCTGGCGGGCAGGGGCTGAGCCTGCACGGGGTGCCTGGTCTCCGCAGGGGAGGCGCCCACGCCCAGGGCGGGTCACAGACGGCAGGGTCAGAGGTCACAGTGGCCTGCATCCTCGGGCCCTGAAGGCCAGTAACACGTGAAAAAGAAGCCACTGCCGGCCTCCTCCCCGGGCACTGACTCCCACAGCCCGCGAGCCTCGGGGCCAGGGGCCGACCTCCCTCCCGGGCCTCGCACTGGGCAGGCTCGGCAAGGGAGGCTCCGGGGAGGCTCTGCCGCTCCCTTGCGGCTACTCCCCGCTGTCTGTCAGCTGCTGAGGCTCCTCCAAGGAGCTGAGCCCCCAATTTTGACCCCAAAGGAAACCTCCACTGAAGAGCAAGTCAGCACCCCAGCCAGGGAAAGAGGCGCCATCCTAGGGCGCAGCTCCGCGGGGCCCTTCCCTCGGGCAGGAGCCTGGTGTGCACGGCCCACACGGTAGCAGAGCAGCGCCTCAGACCCACAGGGCAAAAGAAGGAGCCAGGGCAGTGTCTGCGGCGGCCGCAGAGAGGCGCGGCCGGGGACGAAGGCAGGAGGACCGAGCGCCAGGGTGCAGGGTAAGCGCAGAGCGTCAGGCTTTCCTGCCTCCTGCCGTCAGCGTTGATGGATCCCCGCGGTCCTGCCCGCTTGCCTGATGGCGGGCCCTGGGCTGGGGTGTGGGCGTGCACAGGCGGGCACACCTGGGCTGGGGCTGGCTTATAAGGGCGGCGTCACGGGCATGCCAGCAGGACAAGAGAGGACACCGCGAGATGCCAGAGGGCCCAGGAATAGTGAAGACTTGCCGGGGCTGAGAACCTGCCAGCCCCCCGACCCCCGCCTGCCGTGTACCTGGTAAAAGCTCAACAAAAGCCTGAAAAAGGGGCCTCCCCGGTGGCGCAGCAGGTTGAGCCCAGCGCTGTGGAGCTGTCCGCAGCCTCCGCAGTGCCGGTTCGATTCCCGGCCGGCCAGGGAGATTCCCACATGGCCAGGCAGACACCTCCTGTCTCCCCACTGCTCCCCTCAGCAGTGTTTTCGGTCTGTCCGCCTGTTCTGCTCCCCTCTCTGTCTCTGGGGAATCCTCTCACCGTGCCCCGCGCCTCTGGCCTGTGTCCAGGTTCTTGTATAAATAATCTTTAAAAAGAAGGCCTGAAAAAGCCACCGAGGGCTCCAGGGCTCTCCCTCACCGTCTGCCCGGGCCACAGAGACCCTGCGGGGAGCCTTCCTGCCACTAGCTGGGGCCAGGGAGGAGGCGGCAGGCCAGCGGAGCCCGAGGGCCAGAGAGGAACCCTGGCCCAGGACCATGGCTCTCCCCAGCTCAGCGGAGCAGGGCCAGGCGCGGGCCGCCGCCAGGACAGGCCACAGAGGCTGCGGTGCTGAGGGGTGGGAGGGGGTGGGCTAGAATAGCACCGGGGACCCCTTCAAACCCCACACCCACCGGCTCCGGGACAGCCTGCGGGCCACCCTCGCCCACCCTAGAGCACAGGGCTCTCCCGGCACCTTCCCCAGGCCAGGCCCCACATACGCAGGAGACTGTGGCCCAAGCTGTTCCCAGTCCGGCGGGCCCAGCAGGGACCCACACAGCAGCTCAGGGGCCTTCTGCGGGGCTGGACGCTGGCCTCCAGGGGCCACACCCAAGCCTGTGGCGGGTCCAGAACTGCCCCGTGGCGCAGCCCAGGCCTCCTAGTCTTCACCTGGGGCAGCCTGCACGCAGCGCGGCCTAGACAGAGTCTCTGACCTCTGGACAGATGGGGCAGCCCAGACAGCTCAGCTGGGCTGGGCCCCCAGGCCCCTCTGGGCACCCCTGGCGGTTTCCGGACCCCTGCAGACAGGGAGGGCCTCCTGGCCATGACGCGGCCCTGGCCCTCCGTGGGAGCAAGGCTTCGGGTGTGTATGTCTGGCGCTGCCAGCCCCAGCCTCATGTTCGCTGCTCCCAGTGTGGCCCAGGTTGGAGCGGGAGCTGCCCGGGAGCCGGCAAAGGGGCTCCGGCATTCTGGAGTTGGAACCTGTGCCCGCTGGCGGCCGCCCTGTGCTCCTTGGGAAGTCCCTCACCCAGCGCCTCTTGGACCCACGTCCCCTCGGTAGGTGCCCTGGTGCTCAGCAGCCAAGCTGCAGCCCCTGGAAGTTCTAGAAAATGATCTATTCTCCCCAGGGGCCAGCGCGACCCCCACTCCAGACACCCAACAGGGGCCGTGGGCCCTTGAAGATCCCTGGCCTGTGCTGCCTCGCGGGGCTGTGCGCCCCCACACCCCCAGAACCCCTCACCACCCTTCAACTCACCCCAAACCAAGCCTGGTCCTTCCAGACTCAGCCCCAGACCCCTCCTCGCCCCAAAAGATCTGACATTCTGGGCCCAGAAACCACTGGCAGCTGAGCCTGGAAGGCAGCAGAGCGCCCGCCGGGCCCGCGGGCGACCTGGCGCTCGGCCCGCTTCGTGCTGGAAGCGGCGCGGGCCCCGCCGGCTCTCCTGCGGGGCGCCCTGCCCGCCCCGGCCGCGGCCCATCTCGCCCGGGGCTGGAGGCGGCGGACGCGGGACGGGCGCGGACAGGAGGCCTGGGGAGCTCGGGCCCGGCGCCCCGCGACGCCCCGGCCAGGCCCGAACACGGTGCCCCGGGGCCGGGGGTGCCGCCGCGCCTCCCCCGCGCCGCCAGGCCGCCCCCCGCCGCCAGGCCGCCCCCCGCCAGGCCGCCCCGCCCCGCGCGCCCCGCTCCCGCCGCCGCCCGCCGCCCCGCGCCCGGCCGGCCGCCCCCCGCGCCGCGCCCGGCCACGACGGACCGCCGGGCCGCGCCCGCTCACCTGCGCCCGGCGCCGCCGCCTCTTCCAGCTGGGAGGCCCCGGCCGGAAGTGACGCCGCGCCGCGCGCCACGTGACGGGCAGGGGCGGGGCGGGGCCCGGCGCGCGGGGCGGGGCGGGGCGGGGGCGGGGCATGGGCGGCGCGGCGCGGGGCGGGGCGGGGTCGGGGCATGGGCGGGGCGGCTCGGGGGCGGGGCGGGGCGGGGCATGGGCGGGGCGGGGCGGGGCATGGGCGGCGCGGGGCGGCGCGGGGCGGGGCATGGGCGGCGCGGGGCGGGGCATGGGCGGGGCGGCGCGGGGCGGGGCATGGGCGGCGCGGGCGGCGCGGGGCGGCGCGGGGCGGCGCGGGGCGGCGCGGGGCGGCGCGGGGCGGCGCGGGGCGGCGCGGGGCGGCGCGGGGCGGCGCGGGGCGGCGCGGGGCGGGGCGGCGCGGGGCGGCGCGTCCCCAGCCGGCGCCGCGCACGGGCTCCGGATCCCCAAGCACCGAAGCGGCGCGCAGTGTCCCCGACCAAGGCCAGGCCAGAGGCGCGGGCCCGCGGCGCTCCCAGGCGCGCTGCGGCCCGCTGGCCGGCGCCGGCGCTGCCCAGAGCCGGGCGCCCTGGGCCGGGGCGGGCCGCTCCCCGGAGGGCGCCGGGCTCAGCCCCCAGAGTCGCTGAGGAGCTCGGCCAGGGCCGGGCCGCCCGGTCGACGAGGCCGGAGGCAGGGCGCGTCCTCGGTGGCCGCGTCGCGGGCTGCCCCCCGGGAGACGAGGTGCCTGGGGCGCAAGGTCGCCCTGGACAGGCTCGAGGCGCGGTCCGCCGGGTCCTGACAGCCTCCCGTTGTTTTCTCGAGGTCGGTGAGGAAGGAGGAATCTGATCCTTTGCAAACCACGCTGCCTGTGCCAGCTAGCCCAGGGCGAGCGCAGGGCAGAAGGGAGATGCCCAAGCCCGGGTTCTGACCAGCACCACGCGCCCGCCCCCGCCACCCCAGCCACCCGGCCGCGCAGACCCCGCAGGGCACGGCCAGGCCGGGCTCACCCGGCTAGGTCAGGGTGCCCGTCGCGGCAGGCGATGTGCAGGGCGGTCCAGCTCGCCTCCGCACGCTGCTAGATGTCAGCCCCGCGCCTGGCCAGCAGCCGCACGCACTCCAGGCTCCCGGACAGCACCGCTTCATGGAGGGCAGGCAGGGCAGGCCTGGGCAGGGCGGCCAGGATCAGGGCCAGGCTTCCCCCGGGTGCGGGAGGCGGGGCCGCGGCAGGCTCACCTGAGGGGTGGATGGTGTCCAGGGTCGCTTTGTGGGCCCGGAGGAAGCAGCCCACCTGCTGCAGGTCGCCCTGGCAGATGTGGTCCAAGAACAGAACATCATTGGGGAAGTGGACACTGCAACCCGCCAACAGCTGCCAGCGCCGCTGCTGGGGGGTGTAGCGGACATTTCTGGGCATCCTGGGACCAGGGTGGGGGCCGCTTGGACACCTTACTGCAGGGGAGGAGGAAGGTGCCCACCGGCGGACTAGCCAGCACCAGGCTCCTGGCAGATGGCGCCCACGCTAACACAGGCCCCGGGGCTATATAAAGGCGATCAGCGGGCACAGCTGGAGCCAACCCCAGCCTCCGTGACCCGGATCATGTTCGCGGCTCGTCTTTCAGCCCACCTGACACTGTGCCCAGGCCGGAGGGTCAGGTCGTTCCTGGCTGCTGTTCCCTGCCCGCAGCTGGAACTGATGGTGCTGTGAGAGGGCAGGAGAAGGCCATAGGACAGGCTACAAGGAAGGCCAGATGCCAAGGTCCTCTTGAGGGCCCAGTCCTGCACTGGCCCAGCCAGCCAGGAGGAAGGTGGCACATGGGCACGGCTGCCTCTCCAGGAAGGCCAGTGGCCCTGCCCACATGGGGGCTGCCAGGGTCCTGAGGGCAGTGAGAAGCAGGCCACACCACACCACCGGCCTCCCTGAGCCCTGCAGCCTTCCCTGGAGGCCTGCCTCGTGCTCAAGGCGTTCTCCCAGAGCTCAGCCTCCTGCCCCAGAAGCCCCCGGGCAGCCTGCCACCTTGCTCAGCCGGCCCGCCCGCCAGGACCCTGCCAGGAGCCCGCGGTGCCCTGGGAGCCCTCCACCGCGGCCCCCGTGTCCCTGTTTCCACAGTTCTCCCAGGGCCAGACTCCTGACGCCTGCACGCAAGGACACAAGTGCTCATGTGGGCCCCGCCCACCCAGAGACCCCCTGATCCTCGCCACCCCAGCAAAGTACATGCTAGGGACCTTGAACCTCAGGACTGAGGCCAGAAGCCCACATCCCCCGCGCAGCCAGGGCTGCTCCTTCCGCGGGAGGCTCTGGGCCAGGCCAGTCTCCCCACCACGGGCAGCCTGGGTGCCAGCACTGCCCCTCCTCCCTGTCGTGGGTCTGTATTCAGATGCCTAAATATAAGGACGTGGGTGTGGAACAGCCCCCCCCCCCCCCCCCCGCCGACTCCAGTGCAACCTCCTGTTAACCAGTCGCACCTGCAGCAACTCCATTTCCAAATAAAGTCCCCTTTTGAGATACTGGGGTCCTGTGGATTGGGGGGTACAAAGTTCACCCCCATGGGTGGTCACCGAAGGCCTGGATTGGCCAGCACCTGTGCAGGAGAGGGCGGGCTGTTCTCAGCCCTGCACAACTTAAGTCAAATAGACCCCAGGCCTCCAGCCGGAAGCCCGGGGCCACACTGCCCGGAAAGCCCCGCCGGCTTGGTGCCCACTGCCCGCCGGCCTGTCTGCAGGCCTCGCGCCACACACCTGAGCTCGTCCAGGCGCTGTGCCCCTGGGGGAGGGCCCAGTGAGGCTGCATTTCAAGGAGCTCCTCTGACCTCTGATGCCTGTCTGGCCTCCCACCTGGACCCGAGCCAAGTGCCCTAAGGAAGAGCCCGGTGTCGGTCCAGGTGGCCAGTGGGGCTCAGGCCTTGGTTCGTTTTGATCAGAGAAGAGACAGGTCCCCCGACACCGCCCCAGCCCCGAGAGACCCCTGTGCTGTAATGGGGTGGCCCTGCAGGGTCTGGGCCCCACCCTGTGGCCGCCCCAACCAGCCTCCTGGCCAGGGGGTGGGCGCAGGGGTGAGTGCCACGGCCTGGCGCTCAGCCCACCTCCCGGGCTCCCTCTCCTGGGGGCCAGTGTTCTGGTCAGGCCTGGGGCTGACAGCGGGGACCAGGCCAGCACAGGGACCTCGGGTACTGGGGAGGGAGGCAGCCTGGGTGGGCAACAGTGTGGCTGGGCAAGAGCAGCCAAGTGGGGCACTGGGAGGCCAGAGCCATCCTGGGGTCAGGAGGCCCCATGGCGGGTGGGTGGAGGTGGGGCCGGGGCCCCCCTGGGGAGGAGCACGGTCCTCAGAGGATGCCACCAGGGAGGTGCACGTCCCCGGGGAACAGGACCCCCTGGACAGGTACACCCAAGTGGGCCCCCCAGGGACACAGACACCCTCCCACCCTCCGGGGTCAAGCAGCAGGTGAAGATGCTCACCCCCTGGCCCCCCCAAGTCACAGCTCCAGCCCTACTCCCCAAGGCCTGGCTCGGCAGAGGCAACATGTAGTAAAATTTCGACTTTATTCGACCAATGTGTTCGACTCCAATCTGAGAGAAACGCCTGAAGAGCACAACTTGGCTCTGGTGTCCGGGACCGGCTCCGCGGGGCAGTGCCCGGGCTTGTCCTGTGTGGGCATCCGGCCACATCAGAGGCCAGGGGCATTCAGGGAGGGGGCGCACCAGCCCTGGCCCGGCTGGCCGCCGCCTGTCGGGGAGAGCCTCACACAGCCTCGGCCACAGACGCCAGCTGAGCAGGCCCGTGCCCAGGCAGGGCCTGTCCCTCCCCCGGGACAGGAGTGTCCAGGGAGGCCCGGGAAGGTGGGACAGACACCCTGACGTCCAAACATTCGGAGATGGGGGGGTCTTCAGTGACAGCGTGAAGCTGGCAGGGAGGAGACAGCGCCGCGGGGGCTCCACAGACGGCTCAGCGAGTGCCCTGGAAGAGCCGTGCGCGGAAAGGCGCGTCGCGATTGAAAAGGGGCCATGAGTTGGTGGCCAGAGATGTCCTTCCCGGGCCCGCAGCGGAGGGAGGGGCCGAGACAGAGCGCGAGGGCGAAGTGTTGTTCCCAAGAGCTCTCTGCGCTTCTGAGCGCCTCGCTCCGGCGGGGGTCCAGCGGGGGGCTCCTGCGGGCGTGGGTGGGGCAGCCACGGGGTGGGCAGAGCCGGCTACAGCTCGTCCTTCACAGCCTTCTGCTCGTCGTCCTCCTCCAGGTCGGGCTCCTCGGCTTCCTCCAGGTCCAGGTCCTGGCCAGGGAGGAAGCGCTGGCCATGGGCAGTGCCGGGTGGCACAGCGAGGCCCCGCCCGCCCCCAGCAGCAGGCACGTGGGCAGAATGCCGCGGCCCTGTCCCAGGCGCGTCCGGCCAACACCCCCAGCGCCTGCCACAGACGCCCCCGTCACCCCCAGGCCGGGCTCCGCAAGACCGTCCAGTCCCGAGGCCCGCAGCCAGACCCCGACTCACGTTGTCGTCCCCTGCCCCGTCCTGGCCGCCACTCTCCAAGAACTTTTTAAAACCGTCCAGCGTCCGCTCCCCGTTGTAATCGATGACCTGCGGGAGGGATGGGCACAGTGAGGCAGGGCCTGGCACAGGTGGCCCTGGCCCAGTCTGGCCCGGCCCGCGGGGACGCACCGTCCGGTCGGCGCGCGCAGGGAAGAACTTGAGCGTGGGGAAGCTGTGCACTTTCACAGCCTCCACCTCGTTAGCCGTCGAGTCCATCTTGGCGATGACAATGTCCTCGTGGTCCTTGTACGTCTCTCCCAGTTTGTCCCAGATGGGGGCCAGCTGTTTGCAGTGGCCGCACCACGGGGCATCTGAAAGAGAGCAGGTCAGCGCCCCCTGGCCGCGCTGCCCAGAGCCGGCGGGCGGGAGAGGCGGCGGCCCCACTCACAGAATTCCACAAACACGTTCTTCTTCTCGTCGAAGGCTACCTCCTCGAAGTTCTTCCCCACCAGCACCTTGACGGGCTGCTTGTCCCAGTCGTCAGGCAGCTCCTGGCTCATGAGGTGGGGCTGCAGGGGCGGCAGGTCAGGGCCTGTCCGGAGCCCGCCCCGCCCGCGCCCGCCCGCGCCCCGCCCCCACCTTGATCTTGCCCTCCAGGAAGCGGTGGCAGAACTCCGCGATCTTCTCGGCGGTCAGCTCGCTGGACTCGGGCTTGTACTTGGTCATCTCCTCCTCCAGCGTGATGAGGCGCAGGGCGGGGCACTCCTCCTTCTTCAGGCCGAAGAACTCCAGGATGCGCTGGTTGTCCGCGTGCTCGCTGTCGATGAAGATGAACAGGATCTGGGGGAGCAGAGGCGCGTCACACAGGAGACCAGGGGGGTGGGGCTGCTCCCCGCCCCCGCAAGCCCTGGCCGGTGCCCACCTTGCCCTTGAAGCCCTCGGCCGCCTTCCGGAAGTGGCCCAGCTTGACGTCATACTCAGACGCGCTCTTGGGCAGGAACAGCAGGATGTGAGTCTTGATCTCACCGCCAAAAATCTTTGGGGCTGTCTGTGGGGCGAGCACAGGGCCAGGGTCTGAGCCAGGAAGGCCAGGCAGCCGCGGGGACATGGGGGTGGGCCAGGGGAACAGAGACTGGGGCTACCTGCTCCGTGAACTCAATAACCAGGGGCAGCTGGTTGTGCTTGATAAAGTCCAGCAGCTTCTCTTTGGTGACGTCCCCCTCAAAGTTGTTCCGGCCTTCGTCAAACTGCGGACAGAGAGCCCTGAGCGCCAGGGGCCCCTGCTGGCCCGGGCTCAGACCCCACGGGCAGCAGGGGCACCCCCAGCCTCCTGGGTAAACGGCCACAACGGTCTCGACCCTGGCCCACGGGGCTGCAGAGGTAGGGGGCCTGCCGTGACCCCTCCCAGCGAGCAGCAGGAGGCACGACGGCTGCCCACAGGTCCCACGGCCACACAGCGCGTCCACCCGGGCAGGCAGGCCAGCCGCCCAGCCCACACCCTCCCAGGGAAAGCCAGTTTTCATCAAACTGTTATTTTCAACATTGCAAAGTCAGTTTGTTGCTGTTTTAGAGAAAACACGTTAAGGATCCTCAGCATGAGAACCTGAGGTTGGAAGGGAAGCCCCTAAGACCCCTGGGACGAGGGAGAAGCGGGGCCCCCCAGGCAGGGGAGCAGCCCCGGAGCTGGAGCCAAGGGGCTGCTGTCAGCCCCGACCCGGGGGGGGGGGGGGGAACGCGCCCCGGCCCTCCCCAGTGACCTCCAGACAGCAGGGGCAGCTTCTCTCCCGTGCCAGCCTGGCCCCACTGCTGGGCACGACAGGCCATGCACCGTGTCCTGAGGCAGACACCGGTCTCGCCTTCTCAAACCTGAGACCAAAGAGGGATGCAGCGGGCCCGGCCTGAACCTACAGGCCCCTCAGCGGCTTTTGGCACATACATCGGCCACGCGGGGCCTGACGCAAGGGGCACTGCTTGGCCTTCGTCCAGGCTGTGTGCGGGGGGTTGCTGTCCTATGGTGAACAGCGCATGGTCCTTGCGTAGTGGGCGTGGCCAGGCGGGGCAGGCCCTGGGCAGAAGGCCCCGTCAGCCCAGTGACCGGCGTGGACATAGCAGGTGTGCGGAGCAGAGACCAGATCCCCAACCCTCAAAGACCGCAAAGTAAAACCAGTAGCCCCAGACCCAACCACGTGGACGGTCAGCTCTCAGACCAACAGCGTGGCAGCTGCAGACCCAGCCAAAACCCAACGGCAGAGTCCCGCCAGGGAGAGACCCCGGGAGGCCATGCTGGCCTGGGTGGGCAGCAAGCCCAATTCACCTTTAGCACCAGGAGAGGAGCTGGATAAAGAGGGGACCCAGTCAGGACTAAAAGTGTGCAGCGAGGGGCCTCCCTCGTGGGGCAGAGATTAACATCTTGGACTATCAAGCTGTCCCCAGCCTCTGCAGCACAAGTTCAATCTCCTGCTGGCCAGGGAGTGACCCACACGGCGCAGCAGACCTCTCCTGTCTACCCGCCGCTCCCCTCAGTAGTGGATTTCAGTGGATCCTCCTGTTCTGCTCCCCACTCTGTCTCTGGTGAATCCTCTCACCACTTTCTCCGGCCTGCACCCCAACTCCTGTATGCCCAAATCTTCAAAAAATAAATAAATAAAGTTCAGAGTGATTCGCAGAGCGCCTTCCCCTCAGCGCACCCCAAGATCCCCAGGCTGTGACCCAGAGCACTGCCCACAAAGTGACTGGACCCATGTGGTAGTTGGAGGTCGGGGAACCTCCACCCCAACAGCAAGGAGCTGGCACCGCGTCCAGCTGCACCTTTAATAGAGGCGCCGGCTGGAGAACAGAAGAAGCGGAGCTGCCAGCAAGGCGGGGAGACACGCCCCAAAGCTGACACCCCGGAAGCTCCACTTGGGATGAGGAAAAAGTCCTGGAAATGAAACAAGGGCAACGCCCTCCGTCTCGGAAGTCACGGCTCCAGAAGCAGCTCGGAGCCCACGGCCACCGTGGAGGGAGCAGCCCCACGCGGGTCTGAAGGGCGCTGATCCCGCAGTCCGGGGCCTGACTTGGCAAAACGGCTGTTGATAACCCAGGTCCACAGTCCAGGCCCCCGGGCAAGGTTCCCAGCGACGCCCTCACCTTCTTAAAGAGGACGACCCCGTCCTTGTCCAGCTGGTACTTGGAGAACACGTCGCTGCTGGCTGTGATCCCGAAGGGTACGTCATCCACGGCCTCTGCCGCCAGCAAGAACTGCTTGGCCGCATCCGACTCCATGTCCTGCGAGAAAACAGGCCTGGGGCTGACGCTGCACTGTCCAGCCATGGGCAGCGCAGGCCCCAGCCCGCCCCAGGACGGCGAGGAGGCCCGAGCGCAATACCTTGAAGAAGCCGATGACTGCCACCTCGCTTGACTCCACCAAGGCCTCAGCGGCGGCCCTGTCGGGCAACGTGGAGGCGGCAGGGCCTGTGCGCTTCTTCAGCCAGTTCACGATGTCGTCGGCCTCCCTGCCAGCTGCGGCCAAGCACAGGCGGCCCACGTGAGCCGGGCACCGCAGCCCACTCTCAGCCACGGCGAAGGCGCCAGCCTTGGGGCCATGGGCCCACCCGCTCTGGGCTAAGGGTCCCGGGTGAGCCCCCAGAAGCGAGGCAACCAGCAACCCGCCTCTTCCCTCCCGCTCCCTCACCTTGGACGCTGAAGTTAGTTAAATGCCCACAGCTTCCTCTTAACTAGCGGGGACGGGGTTAAAACATGAAGCCTGTATGCCGCCACCTCCCGCCTGCAGCCCAGGCCTGCCTGCGCTGGGCACGCGAGGCTGAGTGGCCAGCCCCCACCAGCCGCTGCTCGTCCCCTCGGGCCTGACGACCTGGGTTGCCCGGGGAGGGCTGCCAGGTCTCAACTTAAAGAGGTTACGCTGACAGGGAGCAAAGAACTGCGGTCAGTCCGAGCGGATCCAGCACCCCCAAAATCCAGCATCAGTATTGGGAGTGGCCACCATGGCCAGGTACCCCCCAGTTCTGCAGGAGTAGCCCTGGAGCTGGGCGCTGCACCATGGGGCTGAGGGGCCGTTCCCCAAAGAGCAGCTGTGGAGGTAACCGGGGCTGCACCCCAAGCCCCACACACCTGCAGCAGCACTGGCCTGGCCCCCAACAGAGCTGGCCTCGCTCTTGTGCAGCTGTGGCGTTGAGAAAGGAGCGGGTGGCCCCCCAGCACTGGTCAGCCCCAACCCCAGCCCCTGCTCACACGGGCATTCTTCTAAGATGAGGGCCCGCAGAAGCTGGAGAACTATGCCGGTCAGAGAGCAGGGCCCCCCCACCCGCCTTCCCCGACGCCAGCAGACGGACCCCTCGCAGACAAAGGAGCTGCAACCTCACCTGTATATTCTTTGGGGGACGCAGTGTCTCCATTCTTGAAGAACTTGATGGTGGGGTAGCCGCGGACACCGTACTGCTGGGCCAGCTCGGACTCCTCGGTAGCGTCCACCTTTGCCAACCTGATCTCAGACCCTTCAGCCTTCAGCTTCCCCGCGGCTTTGGCATACTCAGGGGCCAGGGCCTTGCAATGGCCACACCAAGGGGCATCTGAAGAGAACACAAGATGCTGGAAAGCAACCCCAGGCCAGGGTCTGCTGCTCCTGCCCTCCCGGCCGCTGCTGCCCTCCGAGGGCCTTATCTGCTCCCCGATAACCCCGGCGCCAGAGCAGGCTCTTGGGCAAGGTCGGGACAGCGGCCACCCGTGCCAAGCTGACACCTCCTCCCCGCAGGCGCGCAGGGGGTCACGCCCCACTCCCTGCAGGGCCTTAGGGCCCTGGCTCGGCGCTGGCAGCTGCCCACCCGGGGCACACGCCCCCCCAAGCAGGGGCCTGGGGGAGCTGCGGGACTCAGGGCGGCCAGTTCCGTAAACTGAACCCAGGGGCAGGTCAGCCGCGTCCCACCCTCTCCCCGCAGAGACCGTCCAGGAGGGGCCACCGGGAACCGAGGGGCAGGCCAGCCGCCGCGCGCGGACAGCAGCTGGCCAGAGCGGACGCCTGTCAACCCCGCTCCGGGCCCGGCCCCACGGGCCGCGAGACGCTGCCGTCACGGGCCCGGCCCTCCGCCCGCGGTCACCCGGGATGCGCCCGGCAGGAGGGACGCCCGCGGGCCGCGCGGCGGGGACGCGGCAGCAGGGCCGGGCGCGCGGGGGAGCGGGGCGTCCCGCGGAGGCCGGAGCGCCGGCCCGGCCCTGAGGATCCCGCCGGGCGCGGCCGCGGCCGGGCCGGGGAGGCGCCGCGCCCCGCGTGGCCCGGGCCCCAGCCCGAGCGGCCCTTCCGTCCCCGCCCGCCGCGGGCGCCCGCCCGGCCCCCGCGCCCCGCCCGCGCCGGCGCTCACAGAACTCCACCAGGAGGTACTTGTGCGCGGCCAGCGCCTCCTCGAAGCTGCCCTTGCGCAGCACCAGGACGTGGTCCTCCTCCTCGGGGGCGCCGGCGCGGGCCAGCGCGGCCAGGGCCAGGCAGAGCAGAGCGCGGCGCAGCATGTCGGGCGCGGGGCTTCGGTTGGCGCCGCCAGCACAGCCGAGGCGACGAGGGCGCGCGCCGCCCGCCCCGCCCTTATAAAGCCGGCCGGCCCCCGCCCGCGCGCCGCCGCCGCCGCGCGCGCACGCCCGCCCCCCGCCTCTGATTGGCCGGCGCGCTTCGAGGCCCGCCCCCGCCGCGCTCGGATTGGGGGGCCACACGGGCGACCCCGGATTCGGAATGGCCGTGGAGGCCGCCCTCGCCCGCGCCTGGGATTGGCCGAGGAGCTCGCGCTCGCACTCTTCCGCGGCCTCTCATTGGCTCCTGGAGAGAACGTTCTCTTCTCCACTTCTGACTGGTGACTTTCGCCCACACCGGCCGCGGGCCCGGATTGGCTGCTGCCTCCCGAAGCCCAGGCGCTGGGGCTCCTCATTGGCCCATATCCGCGCGCTCCCCCCGAGAGCCGCCGTAGAACGTGGCAGAGGCCGGAGTCCCCAGCTGCGGGGCGGGGCTGCGCCTGCGTCGCCGAAACCCCTCGTGTTGGATTCTGACTGGACCGCGTACCCGTAATTGGCACCGCCCCCGGCACCGCAGACCGGAAGTCGATGAAGCCATTTCCGGCGCGCGTGAGGCCCGTGCGGCGCCCGCCCGGCGTCCAGCAGGCGGGGGGGCGGGGAAGGCGGGATTTGGACGGCGGCTCGGCGGGGGTGAGGGGGTGAGGGGGTGAGGGGGTGAGGGGGCGGGCGGCGTGCGGGGGGGTTGCGAGGGTGGCAGTGGGGCGACAGCAGGGGGTGGGGGCACAGCAGCTCGGGGACTGTGGCGGGGGACAGCGGGGGGGGTGGATGGGGGGGTGGATGGGGGGGAGCCCAAGGGTCGGGGAGCCCGGGACAGGGCCGAGGGGCGGCACGGAGAGGGCCGGGGGCCGGCGGTCGAGGGGTGTCGTGGCCGGAGGCTGGGGCCAGGGCTGGGGGCGTGGCGGGGGGGGGGAGGGCGGGGGGGGGAGGGCGGGGGGGGGGAGGGCGGGGGGGGGTTGGGGGGTCGTGCCCAGGGCCGGGGCTGGGGGCGGCAGCGGGGGCGGCCGGCGTCGAGGCCCGGCCGGGGCGGGGTCTGCGCGTGGCCGCCCGCCCGACCGCGTGGCGCCCCCGTGGCCCGCCGTGGGCGACGCCGGCGGCTCTTGGAGCGCGGCCCCTGAGGAGCGTGGAGCCAGCTGCGGCCTGGACGGCGCGGCCTCTGCCCGCTGCTCGCTGCCCTCCGGTGCGCACCGGCCCGGGCCGGTGCCCGCCGCCGTCGGGGGACTCGGCAGGAGGAGGGGAGACCCGGCCCGACGCCCTCCAGGCCCCTGCTGGGGCCGCTCCTGTCCTGGGGGCTCCTCCCCCGGGCAGCTCTCTGTGCCCGCCCCGCGGCCTGTCGGGGTACGGGGCGCTCTTCGGGCGGCGGGCGGACGTGGCCGTTGGGGGCGGGTGGGGTTGCCTCACGCGCTCCCCGTCGGCCAACGTCTTCATGGTTGCGGTGACCGCAGCCTGGGCTTGGAGCGCTGGTCCCGGGCCGGGGCTGGGCGGCCACACTAGCGGGCAGCCGCGGGGCGGCTGGGGGGTGCAGGTGCCCTGGCCCCCCACCACGGGAGAGACGGGTGCTGGGAGCTGGGCACAGGCCAGGCCAGGCCAGGGTCGCAGGCCGTGGTCGAGCCCCGCTCTGCCGACTCAGCCTCGTGGCAGGAGCCCAGGCCACCAAAGCTCGCCTCGCACAGGTGGCGACAGCCCTGTGGGGCAGCCCAGGGGCCTCCGCCCCTGAGAAGACCGCGTGGAACCTGGCCCAGAGGGAGGGGGGACGCTGCCTTCCCTGCACTGACATGCCGGGTCCAGGCACTGCTGTCCTTTGTTTCACTGACCAGGCGCGGGCTTCCAAGATGGGTCCTCAGCAAGCTAAAGGGAAACCTGGCTGGGTGACTTGGGACCTGTGTCCAGGGGATGGGGGACAGGGTGGTCAGTGGTTTTGTAAGGTGCCGCAGGGGATGGCAGCATCTGACCATGGGCCCCTGGGCCTGGCAGTGGGGTGAGCGCGGCCGGGCAGAGGCTGTCCTCGGTCATACAAAGGTGGCCACTCACGCCCTCCTCATAGCAGAAGGGCCGGTCTGGGGGTGACTGAGGAGGCAGAAGCCTGGGGATTAGGCCTCTGGCACAAGAAGGGGAGCAGGAGGACCAGTGGGGGCCCGCTGGGCAGGGAAGCCAGGCCTGGAGCAACAGGTTAGGCAGCTGGGGCTGGGTGAGACCAGAGGGTCAGGTTAGACTTGGGACCCGAGAGACACGTCATGCAGGTCCCTCGGGTGCCACCTCGTGCTGTTCCCAGGGAGGAGCCAGAGCAAAGTCCTGGCTGTTGGCAGCATGCCTGCACAACCTGGCACCCCGGCCAGGTTCACACACACGCCCAGAGCTGGCACATCCGGAGCAAGGCCAGCAGGCTGTGGGGGCCACCGCGTCTGCCCCTGGAGCTTGGGCCAAGGGTGGGGGGCATGTTCCCTAGTGATGGGGCTCATGGGGATCCCTCCTGCGCTGCCAGAGCCCCAGTGTCGCCATGGTGGGGATAGTCCCGGGAGCAGGGTCCCCTGGAGGGGTCTTCCCAGGCTGGCAGCAGCCCTCCAGCTCCGGGACTCCCAGGGGCAGGGCCGCCCCAGCTGTAAGCTCCAAGAGCTGCAACTGCAGGTGCGCCTGGGGCTGGAGGGCGCCCCGCGCCGCCAGAGGCCGGGCTTTCTGGAGCCTGTGTTGTTATAGGGCAGCCCCGATACAAAACGGGTTGCCTGACTGTGGGTCCTCCCCTGCGCCCTTAAAAGGACCCCAATGTCTTGAGGACTTTGGCCTGGAGTGGGGGTGGAGTCCACAAAACCTGCCTGGAATTAGCTCAGGACTTCCTTTCCCCCTAAGTGGCACGAACCGGGGTCGCTACCCTTGGTGGGCACCCGAGATGGCCCATCCAGACACCCTCCTGCATGGCGGCAGCAAGGCCCTTCCCTTGTGAGCTGGGGGCCCCTGTGGCCCACTTCCTCCTTGGTGGAGGCGGCTCCGCAGCTGCAGTCCAGCCCCCCTCCTCCCCCCCAACTGGCAACTCTCCAGCCCCGAGGGCCCCTCTCTTCAGCTAGGAGTTGCCCTTCCGAAGGGCCTGGTGGCTGCTCATGGGGTAGCCGCCCCGCCCTGCCCTGCCGTAGGAGTCGCCGCCTTCCCCACACAAGCCATGGACACAGCTCTGTTGGGGGGACTTTATTTCCCGGTCAGAAAAGGAGAAGCAGGGAAGGCTCGGCGCGAGGCCAGCTGACCGGGGAGGGCAGGCACGGGCGATGCTCCGACTCTTGCTTGGTCCCACTGCGGTCCCGGCTGGGTCTGGGCGGGCCTGGCCCGGGCAGCAGGGCCTGTGGCAGAGGTGGCCCCGGGCGGCACAGATGGAGCAATGAATACTGATGAGCCGGGCACCAGGCCAGGTGGGACAGTAAGGCTGGGCCAGGGCTCTACCCAGGGCACGCCCAGTGGGCTCTGGCGCTGCCCCCAGGACAGAGGGCAGAGGCCTGAGGACACCTGCCTCTCGGATGGGACTGGAGGCATCTGGAGTTTTGGCAATTTGGCTTTCCCAGAGCCCCTGGAGCTGGCCCCACAGGCGGGCTGGCCGGGCCCTGGCAGGCAGGGGAGTGGCAGCGCTGGCCGCACCTCCCCGGGACGCCGAGACAGAGACGGGCAGGGACGGGAGACCACGTGCTCATGCGGACACGGGTTAGAGGTCGGGAGGCCCCACAGCACGAGTTCCGCATGTTAAGGCATCATGGTTAGACAGTGACAGGACGATGGCCGGCCCGGACAGGAGAATGCTGGGGGGGCCCGACCCACACAGCTCCGCATCACCCGCCCCACTCCCGCTGCAGGGGAGGCGCCTGAGCAGGGCAACCCCAAGACTCAGGAAGGCCTGAGCCCCCAGGAGCCCAGCACGATGTCCACGCCCCGTAGACACCAGGGCGTGGGGTAGGTGAGGATGGGCAAGGCTCACGGAGGGAGACAAGGGAAGGGAGGCTGGGCGGCGGCCCCTCCCCCCCAGCACAGGCGGAAGCAGCGACGACACAGGAGACCACCGAGGAGACTGGGGCCTGCGGGCTGGGGAGGGGCGAGTTGGAGGGGCTCGCCGCTGGCCGGAGACAGGCCTGGCAGGAGGGACGGCGGCCTGGGTGGCCCTGTCAGCGCTTTGGTATGGGGTCGGGAGGTGGGGGGGGGGGCACACTCCGGCCGTCCGCCGCCTCCCGGGCCAGGGTTCAGTCCTTCCACTCCTTCTTGATGGTGAGGTTCCACTCCCAAGACAAGTGGTCAGTCTTGTCGTCGTCTGTGAAGCTGGACTTGATATTGTAGCTGCCGCGAGCCAGCATGCCCTTGGGGGCCTCCTCCATGGGCGTCAGGAACTCGTACTCCTCCGCCCTGGGCCCGTAGCTCCCCACCATGTAGTCCGTCTTGTCAACTGCAGGCAGGGGCCGGGTCAGGGAGGGGCGCGGGCCCCCGGCTACCCACCACCTCGCCTCACCCCCTCCCGGGCCCTGCCCAGAGCCCCGAGTGCCACCGCCACTCACTCTTGATGCCTTTCCTGTACGTGTGCTGTATGTACTTCATGCCAGACACGATCTCCCGGTTCACCTGAGGGGGGCCGTGGCAGAGCTCAGCAGGGTGTCCCGCCCCAGCCTGCCCCAGGCTCCCCCAGCCTCCACTCACCCGGAAAGAGATTTTTATCCGATATTCCACCCCTTCCTTCAGCACGAAGGACTGCTTCTTGAAGCTCTCCAGATCGCCTGTGTTGAGAGAAACGCAGCCCTGGGATGCCCAGCTGGGGAGGCTGCTTGCCATGCGGCTCCCATCTGTGACCGCCTCAAGGCCTGGTGGGCGCCCTTCCACCCCCACAGTGCCCCCCCCCCAACCAGAGCCTTGGGGACCACGGGGCGGAACTTCTCTTGCTCCCCACGAGAGGGCGCAGGTGCACCAGGAAATGCTGTTGGGGCAGGGCACGTCTGAGCAGCCAGGGGCCTCAGAGGGGCCACTCACCAGTCAGGTCCAGCTCTAGGGGGCCCGGGGCAGAGCTGCACACCAGGGTCAGACGGGTCACGATGACGTTGGGAACGTTGGGGTCTGCAAAGAAACAGCCGCCTAGCACCGTGCCTTCCCAGCGCCTCCCGCCCCACCCAGGGGCAGCGCAGCAGCTGGCCAGGAGCCACGCGCCCCACTCACCAGCAGACACAGCCACGCGGCCCAGGAGGGCCTCCTTGTACTTCCGCAGGCTCTCGTCGTCCTTGTCCAGCTCCTGGATCTCCTGGATGCTCTTCTGGGCTGGGGGCTTGTAGTTGACGGAGTGCTCGTCGTCCTGGTTCTCTGCGGCGATCTGCGCCAGCTGCTCAGCGGTGGGCTCCTGCTCAGCCATGCTCACCTGTAGCCGGGTCTGGGACACCTGCAGGGGCACAGGCTGTGTCGCAGGGGCCAAGGAGGCAAGCGCCTGCTGCAGGAGGCCGCTGCCTGCCCCCTGGGGGGCCCAGCCAGGACTGCAGGGAACTCCCAACCTGCTCCTTCCGGAAACCGGCCACACCTCTCCTGCCAGGGCAACTTCTAAATCCTGCTGCTCCTTTTGAGCGGCCCCGGCCCTGACCCAGAGAGACCGTTCCCGCTGGGTCCTCCGAGCGGCCACACGAGGCTTTCCGGCAGGCGCTAGGGAAGACTGCCCAGCCCCACCAGCAGGTGCCGAGGGGGTGGCGGCGGGGGAGCCGCGCTGCGGGTTCCGCTCTGATCTCCGGAGGGTGGGGGCCGTGGCCCCGAACGGGGGCTCCGCTGGGGCCGTCAGCCTTCTCAAAGGCGGCCCTCTGGCCCCGGGGGGAGCCCCGAGGAGAAGCCGGCCTGAGGCGGCCCTGGCTTCCCCCGCTCAGCGTTCCCATGGCAGCCTCCGGGCCTTCCCGCGGAGCAGCTGCCGCCCCCGCCGCGGATCCCGGAACACGGAGGCGGCCAGGGGCGGCCCCCAGGGCCCGGGGGCTCCGGAGACGGCCGAGCCCTTTGTCCGCGGGGCCAGCGAGGGAGCCGGGATCTGCCCGGGCACCGGCTCCGGCAAGTGCCCAGGAGGCGCGCCACCGGGGCCGCCCCGCCCGTGCGGCCGGGCTCCCCGCGGCTTCCTCCCAGGCCCCGGGGGTTCCGCCCTACGGCCCCCCGGGCGCGGACGCCCCGCAGCCGCCCGGCGCGCGCACTTCCGCAGAGCCCGCAATCTGGGCGGAGGGCGGGGCGCGCAGGCCTCGGCCGCCTGACCCGCTGTCCGGGCCGGCCCCCGGGGAGGGGGCGTCGGGCGGGCCCCGCGGGGCGGCGCCGGGGCGGGGAGGGGGCGCCGGGGGCGCGGCGGGCGGGGCCACCGCGCCGCCCCCGCCCCCGCCCGGCCGCACGTGGGGCGCCCCGGCGCCGGGGCCCGGCCCGGCCCGCGCCCCCTGTCGCCGCGCCCGGCCCGCGCGGACCCCCGCGGCAGGCAGGGCGGGGCCGGGCGGGGCGGGCGAACAAAGGCGCGGCCGCCGCCCGCCCCGCGCCGCCCGCGGCCGCCGCCCGGCCCGCCCGGCCCCGCCCCGCCCCGCTCGGCCCGGCCCGGCCCGGCCCGGCCCGGCCCGGCCCGCCGCGGGCGCTCACCGAGGTTCGACCGCGCCGCTCCGCGCTCCTTCCCGCACGAAGTGACGATCGTCGTCGCCCGCCCCGCCCGCGCGCCCGCCCGGCCGGCCACTTCCGGGGTCACGCGACTTCCGCTCGCGCCGGGCGGGGCGGCCCAGCGCGCATGCGCGGGGCGCTCGGGCTGCCGGGAGCGCGCGCCCGCCATCTTGCGGGGCCGGGCCTTGAGGGCGCTCAGATGGGGTGCCCGGGCCCCCGAGGGCTCCCGCGCCGCGGTCCGCTGACGGCCCGCCAGCTCGGTGGGCGCCTCTGCACGCGCCCTTGGGCGACGCTCCCGGTAACGGGGCGGCCGGGCCCTTCCCGGCCCCCGCGCCTCTGGGCGCCCGGCGCGCGTGACCGGGTCGCCGCGGAAAGCGGCTCCTGCGTGCGGCGCCCCGGGGCGCGCGGCTTCGGGCGTGTGTCCGCGCCAGCCTGGGCCGCCGTGTCGCGCCCGCAGCCCCAGCGCGCGCCCCTCTGCCGGCGGGGAGGCCCCGAGTCCCCGCCGCCCGGGGGCGCGCCCCGTCGTGCCGGGAGGGCCGCGCGGCGCCGGAGCTTGGGGCGAGAGCTGAGCTTGGCGCGGGGGGCTCTCGGCGCCTGGGGGTTTCCTGTGCTGCGCTCGCTGTCGGGCCGTGTGCCGAAGCCGGGCTGGCCGCAGGCAGAGCGTCCCGAGTGGGGTTCAGCGCGGCTTCCTGCCTGGCAGTCCCCGTGGCCCCAGGCCCCGCTGTCGGAGGTTTGTGCCCAGAACCATCCCTCCTGGGCCTGCCACACGCGTCGCTGCACGCGGGGTGCACCTGGGATTCAGCAGCTCGAAGCCCCGCGTGATGCTGTGCAGCTGGATCTCAGCGGGCCTGCCCCCAGTCTGCCCCAAGGACCCGCTGCCTGGGGCACCGCACAGGCTTCAGCCCCAGGGCTCGGCGCCGACACCCCAGACAGGCCTCAGGGACAGGCGATGGCAGAGAGCCGTGACCCCGGCAACTCAGGGAGCAGCACCCATGGCTGGACTCAGGACTGCCCGGGGCGGTGGGGGGGGACCCTGAGGAGTGAGTACCAGGAGGTCTCCGGGCACCCCCTGGCCGACCTCCACCCTGTTCAGCTGCAGCAGCAGCTCAGGGGCCCTCTAGTTTTCTCTGCCCTCACCCCCGTGGAGACAGGTATTATTTGCACCTTAAATATCCAGCCTGTTTTTTTCCTAAGGAAAGAATCCTTTGGGGGGAGGAGGCGCCCCCCCCCATCCCTGCCCAGGCGTGCTTGGCGCGCCAGGAGGTGATTCTCTGCACGCGAGTGAGGGCTGGGTGAGGGCTGCAGCAGAGCGGGGCGCCTCGGGCATCACCCAGTGGCTGTCATCCCTCGCCTCCCCAGGTGCCCCAGAACAGCGTGCCCAGGGGCCTGTCACGGCTTCCTGGAGCCCGCTGGGCAGCTGCAGACTCAGCTCCTGTGGCTCTGCAGGCCGGTGCGGGCAGGCAGGGGCAGGGGCTGCAGCCCTGACCTGGGGCGACGCCCGCGCTCCGTCTTCCAGAGCCCCAAAACAGGCGCCTGGCGCGGCTTCAGCCCCAGGCTGACTTAAGGACCAGGTGGAAAATCTGGGCTGAAGACCCACAAAGCTGCCCCCTCGCCCGCGGCACAGGACGTGCGCCACGGAAGGTGGTTGTCCCACCCCTGGCGTCACCGCTGAGGGCTCTCCCCGCCGGGCGCTCAGTCCCAGAACATGGGCCAGGACGCAGCAGAAGCCCTAAGTGCCGTTTCGCACTCAACGGCGTTTTCTCTGCTCGTGAGCGCCCTTCCCTGGGTCAGAATCGGGTTCTGGCTGCCCGGGCCCTGGGACCAGGCGGGTGGGGAGTGCCCCCCGGTCTCCATCCCACCCCTGGACACCCCAGACTGGGGCAGGCCAACAGCTTCCTGACTCGGTGCCGTGGCCTCAGCTGGAGATGGGACTCTGGCCAGCTGGCCACTGAGAGAGTTACCCTAAAAATGGACACTCCAGGGCCCCCCCGGTGGCGCAGGCACAATCCCACATGGTGAGGTAGTTCTCTCCTGTCTCCCCTCTGCTCCCCTCAGCAGTGGATTTCAGTAGATTTGCCTGTTCTTCTTCCCACTCTGTCTCTGGGGAATCATCTCACCCCCCCACACTCCCCCACCTCTGGCCTGCACCCCAGTTCTTCTATGTAAAAATAAAAAGCATTAAAAAAATTTTAAAAATTCACTAACCTGGTCTCCTTGGTGGCACAAGGGGTTAAGACACAACCTATGAAGCTGTCCGCAGCCTCTGCAGCACGAGTTTGATCCCCAGCCAGGGAGCTACCCACAGGGCGCCGCAGACCTCGCCTGCCTCCCCGCTGCTCCCCTCAGCAGTGGATTTCAGTTAATCTGCCTGTTCTGCTCCCCACCCTGTCTCTGGTGACTCCTCTCACCTCCAACACCTCTGTCCTGTACCCCAGCTCTTGTATGCATAAATAAATAAATCTTTAAAAAACTAAAATAAAAAAATTCACTAACCATAAAGGTAAAGGTTTCATTCCAGAGTCTCAATTCCTTTGATCTGTGCACTTGTCCTTAATACCATAATCTATTTTTTAAAGATTTAATTATTATACGAGAATCGCAGTACAGGCCAGAGGTACGGGGGTGAGAGGATTCACCAGAGACAGAGCCGGGAGCACAACAGGCAGACGGACCTAACTAAATACACTGTGCCCTGTGGGTACTCCCTGGCCTGGAGGTGGCTGTGCATTGCTGAGACTTAACCCGCGCACCCCCGGGGAGGCCCAGCACCACAATCTCTTGATCTTTGTAGCTTTAGTTTTTGAGGTCAAGTAGTGTAATTCTGTTAGGTTCTTTTCAGAATTGTTTTGGCTGTTCTGGGTTCTCTGAGATTCTCTGTACCCCTGAAGGTCAGTTCTCAATTTCTAGGAAGAGCCTGTTAGGAATTTGAGAGGAACAATCTGGAGAAAGTGCATCTGGCAATTTGAACCTTGGATGCAAAGAGATGTCTCTGTGGCCTGTGGGTCTTTTTTCTCCAGCAGAATTTCCTCATTCTAGGGTTGTGTTTGGTTACGATTGTTACAAAGTATTTTAGTTCTTTTTATACTGATGTGAATGGACTTGTTCTGCTAATAACTGCACTTGTATTTTGTACATGGATCTTCCTGCCACCTTGCTAAGCTCTGAGGCTGTGACAAGCCTGGCCTGCGTTGTCTGGAAGGTGCCGGCTGTTCTCTCCCTGTGGGATCCAGTTAATCTTTAAAAAAGCCTTTGCCAGTTGACTGTCCGGGAGGTGCCGCAGGCACCGCCGCAGGCACCGCCAGGGAGATCCCATTTTCTTAAATTCTTTTGTTTCTTGTTTACTCTCCAGGTGCAACTATGGGAGTGAAAGGAATGCCCCCCCCCCACCACCACCTTGCTGGCCCCAGGGCTCTCCAGGGACAGCCCCGCAACTATGGGAGTGAAAGGAATGCCCCCCCACCACCACCACCTTGCTGGCCCCAGGGCTCTCCAGGGACAGCCCCAGGCGCTCCCAGGAGGAGGACCAGGCCCAGGCACGGGCAGCTGCAGGGAGCAGCCAAGCTGGGGATCAGGTTGTCAGCGGGTGGACTTCCAGCTCGCGAGCCTCTGGCCCACCCCAGAGCCCAGCCAGGACTGGCGCTGGGCGTCCAGCAGGACCTCTGGGTGTGCCTCTGCCTCCACGGCAAAGGCAGCAAAGGCGCTTGGGGCGAGGGGTGCGGGCGCCGTCCTGGGGAGGGGGCGGGGCTGCCGGGCCTGGGTCTTGCAGTCGCGCTGGAGTGCCCGGGACAGGGTGGGGAGGGGCCGGTGGGGGGCAGAGCCCTGGAGAGATGGAGTCTGTCGCAAGCACGGGAGTAGGGCGCCCCGCTCCAGGGGGCCCAGGGAGCTGCCTCTTACCCCAGGGGCCGTTCCTTGCCTCTGCCGTCCCATGTGGAGATGCCGCCACCAGGCAGCCCCTGACACTCAGCACAGCGCGGGCGGCTCAGGCCAGGAGGGGGACAGCACACGCCTGTCCCCTGGAAACACACGCACCCCTGATCACGGGCCTCAGGATACCCCTCGAGAATGTGGGGGGGCGGTGGGGGTGACCACTGCCCATGCTGGGGACTCTTGGGTGATGGACTGTTCTGGGAGGTGAATGTGGGCGCGCTGGATGTGCGAACACAGCAAGACCACTGGATGGGCTTCAGCGGATGGTGTGAACACCTGGGTGGCCCCAAGGCACGAGCGCCTCCTTGGCACCTTCGCCCTCCCCCACCTCTGGAACAGACTACTGCGCCCAGGAGCCCTCCAGGCCCTGCAGCGCCAGGCACGGAGGCACGTGCAGCTCAGCTTCCTCAGCTTCCAGCGTGCCCCCTGTCCCCTTCTGTCCTGCTGCCCAGGCCCTGGCCATCCTGCCTCAGGTCCTGTGCTGCTCTTCTCTGCCTTTGGCGCCTCCAGATGTCCACCCTCTCCCGCCAGCCAGGCCTGCCCTGTGCTGCATCCCCTGCCGCTGGACTGCATGGCCCTCTTGCCCCTGGCCACTCACACGCCCTCGGTAGGGCCTGCCACCAGAAGGCATGCTGGACACACTGGACAGGACCAGGCTCCACCGGCCCTGGGTGTGGCGCCTACCTACAGAGAAATAAACATTTTTTTTTAAAAAAAGATCTTCCCCGGGCGGCCGAGAATGGAACCCGCGCTGCAGAGGCTGCGGACGGCTCCACAGCGCTGCGCTCAACCGCCTGTGCCGCCAGGGAGGGCCTAAATTTCAGTTTCTTAAAACCCCAAACGAGATCGTGTCACTGGGTCCCGGGAAGAGGTGAGCCCCCCAAACCTGTGCCGGCAGCACCCGAGACACTTGCCAGGCGTGTGTGGCCAGGGATAGAAACTGCCCCACCCCAGCTGTCCTGTGGCCACTGCACAGCAGGTGCGGACTGGCCCGGGTCAGGCAGTCCCCCCAGGCAAGAACTAGGTGAGCGGGCTCGCCCGCACCCGGTTGGCCAGGGCTTCCATCGGGGGTTGCACGCGCTGCTCCCCCAACCTGGGCCTGTCAGGCCTGTGCCCCAGAAGCCGCCTATTGCAAACGGTGGAGCTGCCAGTGGTGGCTGTGGGCCAAGCGCAGAGCTTCCCTGTGGACTGAGGGCTGGAGGCGACCCCAAAACCCTGGAACTGCCCCCTACAAAGGATGGGTAGGCAGAAAGCCACAGCCTGGTCCTCTGGCATCTCCTTCCTGGACCCCAGGGAGGTGGGGGGGAGGGCGAGAGCTGGGACTACTGGCCCCGGCAGGCCAGCAACACCAGCCCCGGCTCTGGCCCTCAAGGGGGCTCCAGTTCACAGACAAGGTAGCGGATGCTTCAAGGGAGGGTCCGGGAGCTCCGCCCTGCTCTGCTCACTGGCCTGCCCCCACACCCCTTTGCCTCTCGGGATCTGTGGAATCAGACTGCCCCCCAGCTCCTGTCACGTCATGCTCTGCCTGGTCCCCACCAGCCCTCCTTGACCCGAGCAACATGGGGGCTGGGGTTGGAGGGAGATGTGCCATACCTGGGGGCCTCCGGGGCTGCGCTAGTGCCCAGTCTCCTCCCAGGCCTCCCTCCACTCAGGACACCCACGACTGACCCCAAGCATCAACCACCGTCCTCCTGCCCAGCACTCTTGGCCTCTGGCCTGGCCAGGCCCTCAGCCAGGGCTCCCCTGGGCCATACCCTCCTCAGGACACCTCCTTGCCTCGCTGGGACCTGCTCCTTGGGAGCAGCGCTGCCTCCCGCCGCGCCCACCCGTCCTTAGCAGCTTGCAGAGCATTCAACTACCCCGCGGGCTGGGCACAGCTGAGTCATCACGGTCATCTTCCCGGCCAGCGCCTGCCCCGAGCAGGCACCCCCAGCGGCGGAGAATTCTGACGGTGCGAGGCCCCGGCTCACACACCCTCTCGCGCCCCCTTCCGGGCCAGCCCCGGTGGCAACAGTGGGCTTGGAGGCGGCCTCGGTCTCCCGGCAGCTGTCCTGGGCCCAGTGCTGGAGGGAGGGTGGCTGCTTTTGCCCCAAGCAGGGACAGGTGGTGCGGGCGTCCCGCCCCCAAGGGGCCCTGCGGTAGGCAGAGGAGCTGCGCGGTCCGCTCTCCCTGGGCTTGAGGCAGGACAGACCCATCTGGGGCCCGCCCTCCAGAGCCAGGACACATGAGACGCTGCCCAGCCCAGCCCAGCCCGCCGCTCACTGCAGGCACGCGCCCCGGCCGCCAGCAAGCACGGATCGCGGGGCGCCCCGTCGCCTCGCCCTCTGGACGTGGAGGCCAAGGGGATGCCGCCCCCCGCCAGCGTTCCCGGGCCCCGCCCTCACGTCGACGGGCGGCCCGGCGTGGGCTGCAGACCTGAGCCCCGGAACCCTGCACCACGGAGATGACCGCCGGCCGCTGGCCACCTGGGCCTGCCCCCCGCCCCCGCACCTGAATCACGCAGCCCCAGGCCTACACACGTTTCTATTTTATTATGGCAAAGGTGAGGACGTCACCCTCTCCACAACAGCAACCAGTAAAATTTATCCCAAAAATAACTCGGTACAAAACAGGTCTGCTTCGGAATTAAAAAAAAAAAGGAAAAAAAAAAGGGAAAAAGGAGAAAAAACCTTTACAGGAGTCTTTAAATCCTATTTTAAAACATAAAAGAAACAAATCCACGGTTGGCTGCACAGGCCCAGCCCGCCACCCTCCCGCCGGGAGCGGACGCGGCCGGTCTGCTTCGGGCGCGGGCGCTTAGCTGGTGTCCATCTGCAACACAGGAGAGGGTGGTCGCCCTCTGCTCCCCCGGGGGAGCCCCCCCTCCCGGCGCCCGGAACTCACCCTGGCGTTGTAGGCGTCCAGCTGGGCGTCCAGCTCCTCCGCCGAGAGCTGCTGCTTGGAGCCCCTGCCGGTGCCTCTGCCTCGGCCGCGGCTGCCCCCGCGGGCTCCTCTTCGGGCACCGCCGCCGAAAGCACCGGAACCTCGGTTTCGAGTCATGCCGCCCCTGTTCACGCTGGCGAGGAAGGGGGCTCGCTCACGTGCCTGGCCGGGCCCCGCGCCCCCCCGCCCCGGCCGCCGGCTCACCTCTGGGCGGGTCTCCGCTGCGTGTCGATCTGTGACGTGACGAGCTGGATGTTCATGGGGCGGCCTGTGCGGGAGACAGAAGGCACGGGCCGGTTAGGGGGCCGGCGCCGGGGCCCGGCCGGGCCTCCGCGCAGGCTCCGGAAGGGGCCGAGTCTCAGGTGCTCCCGACACCCGGTGGGAGAGCAAGACGGCGCAGCAGCCGCCGGCGCCACATTGCCGAGTCCACTCAGGCGGCGGCCAGGCCGGGCGTCGGGCGCTGGTGGGAGGCGCAGGCGACCTGACGGAGAAGAGCCGGTACCTTTGTCTCTAGACTACAGCCGCGCACTCAGAGGAGTGCTAAGGAGGGTCTGAGAAGGCTCCACAGAAGTGAATCTTCCAGGAGGAGCTGAAGGAGGGGAGGGATGTAGCTCGCTGGATGGGGGTTCACAAGAGGTTGTTCCGGATGTGTGGGGCAGCGTGAGAGGTGGCAGAGTGGAAGAGCGAGACAAAGGGGCAAACGTAAGGTGTCCTCGGCCGGAGGGCGCGCCCCTCCTGCGGGGCAGGGTCCACCCCACGCACCATCCAGGGGGACGCCGTTGTACTGTTTCATGGCCTTCAGGGCGTCCGCCTTCCGCTCGAAGTGCACGTCGGCGGTCCCTAAGCTGCGGCCCGAGCGGTCGTAGTGCACCGCCGCCTTCTTCAGGGTCCCGAATTCAGCAAAGAGCTCCTGGGAGTCGGAAAGAGCAGCTGTTGGCAGGCGGCCTTCCCCCCGCGGCCAGGGCCTGGGAGCGCGAGCTGCTCTGGGGGTCTCCCCGGGAGGCCTGCGCGCGGGCAGGGCGCGGCGGGGGGCTGGGGGCAGGGCTGGGTCCGGCGGGCAGCTACTCTCAGGAGCGGCTTGGCCCTGGGCTCCTGGCGGCCTGGCACCGAGACGCAGGCGGGCGCCGGCCCGGTGGAGGACACGAGGTCTGCCTCCGTCCACAGACGAGCGCACAGCGAGCTCCTGCTGCTGGAGTGAGGGGTGCTGGCAGCGCGTGGACCAGCTCAGAGGGCCCCTTGCCTCGGGAGCCCTGCCCCAGCCCCTCCCCCAGGGCAGGTCTGGCTCACCTGGCCCTCTCCTCCCACTCAAGCCTGCCGCAAAGGCTGAAGTCAAGCGCTGCCATGGAAACTGCCCTGACCTCAGGTAGGCTGGGAGTTGGAGAGGGAACCCAGAGTGTGGGGCTACTCCGGCCGCAGGCACACAGCGGGAAGTGGAGTTCACCAAAAGCGGTTTCCAGTGGATGCCAGAAACCACCTTGAAAAAAGTGTTGAGACACTGTGAGTGCTCATCGGCCTCCGCTGTCCTCCCCGGTCTCGTCCGGCGGCTGGGCGCTGGGCGGCTGAACCCAGGAGGCCCCGCACCCTGGCCCGGCCCCCTGAGCTCCCACACTGACCCCCAGGACGCCTGCACCTAACTAGACACCCTCGGGCGCGCGGCGCCGCTCAAAAAGGAAGGAAAAAGGCGCCCGCCAGGGCAGGGGCGCCGGGGCAGGGCCCGCGGGAGGCCGGAGGGGGCCGCCTGCCCCGCGGCGGGCCGTGCAGCTGCGGCGGCCGGCGAGCGCCGCGCCCGGGCCGGGCGGGCGGGCGGGCGGGCGGGCGGGGGCACACCCCGACGACGGGGCGGGCGGGGGCACGGCCGGCCGAGGGGCCCGGCCTCTCACCTGAATGTCGGCGTCGGACACCCCGAAGTCCAGGTTGGACACGAGCAGCTTGCCCCCCGTCTCCACGCCGGCGCCGCCCCCGAAGCCGCTGTCGAAGAGGTCGTGCTGCCACTTGTCGGGGAGCTGCTTGGGCTGCGGGCGGGGGGGGGCGTGAGCGCGCCGGCCCCGCCGCCGCCACGCGGCCGCGCGGACAAAGGCGCCGCCCCGCCCGCCCCGCCGCACTCACCCGGCTGTAGGGCGCGGGCCGGTTCCTGCCGCCGCCGCCGGCCGCGCCGCGGGCGAGGGCCGGCCGGTTCCGCATGGGCCCGCCGCCTCGGCTCACCCGCGCGGCCGCCTGCGCGCCGCCGCCCCGGCCGCCCTGCGAGCCCGCCCGGCCGCGGCCCCGGCCCCCGCCGCGGCCGCCTCGCTGGCTCCGGTTCAGCTTGATGATGTCGTCCAGAGACATGTCCATCTTGTCGGCCATGGCGGGCGCGGATCGGCCTCGGCTCCAGCCCGCGCGTCAGCACGCCGGCGCGTCACTTCCGGCGCCGCGCGGGCCCTTCCGGGGCGCGGGCCCGCCGATTGGCTGCGGGCGGGCGGGGGCGGGCGTGCGCGTGCGCGCTGGGCGGAGGGCTGGGCGGGCGCGGCTGTGAGGAGCCGGGCCGCGGCCGCGGTCGTTTTTATACCTTCCCGCGCGGGCGCCGGCGCGGCCAACGGAAGGCGGGCGGGCGGCGGGGGGCGGCGCGTGCCGGGGTTGGCCGAGGTGCGAGGGCGCGGGGGCGGGGCGGGCCGTTGGGGGCGGGGCCGGGCACCTCACCCCTTCCTCACCCCCTAACCCCTCACCCGCCCACCGCCGCGGGGGCCGCGGGGCGGCGGGGGCCGCGGGGCGGCGGGGGCCGCGGGGCGGCGGGGGCCGCGGGGCGGCGGGGGGCGCGGGGCGGCGGGGGGCGCGGGGGCCGCGGGGCGGCGGGGGCCGCGGGGCGGCGGGGGGCGCGGGGCCCGCGGGCCGCGGGGGGCGGGGGCCGCGGGGGCCGCGGGGGGGGGCGCGGGGGCGTCTCTATCTGTCGCCCCGGGGAGCGCGACGTCGCCTTCCAAGGGGCCGCGGCCGGGCGCGGCGCGGCGGGCGGGCTCGGCGGGCGCCCTGCAGCGGGCGCGCCCGGCCCCCGGCCCCGAGCCGCGGCCCCCCGAACGCGGCGGCGGCCTGACCCGGCCCCCCCGCCGCAGGCCCCGCCATGAAGGTGAAGATCAAGTGCTGGAACGGCGTGGCCACCTGGCTCTGGGTGGCCAACGACGAGAACTGCGGCATCTGCCGGATGGCCTTCAACGGCTGCTGCCCCGACTGTGAGTGCCCGGCGGCCGGGGGTGCGGGCGGCCGGGGGTGCGGGCGGCCCGGGGGTGCGGGCGGCCGGGGGTGCGGGCGGCCCGGGGGTGCGGGCGGCCGGGGGTGCGGGCGGCCCGGGGGGTGCGTTGGCCCGGGGGGTGCGTTGGCCCGGGGGGTGCGTTGGCCCGGGGGGTGCGGGCGGCCCGGGGAGTGCGGGCGGCCCGGGGGGTGCGTTGGCCGGGGGGGGGGGGTGCGGGCGGCCCGGGGGGGGCGTGCGGGCGGCCCTGCTGTCCGGCTGCGCGCGTGCCCGCGAGGTCGGCCGGGCGGCGCCCTCAGCGTCGTCCTTTGTCCTCCGAGTCCCGGGGAGTGGACGTGGCGCGGTGCGTGTTTGGGGCGAGACCGGTTTGGGCTCCGCTGCCTGCGGCCTGCGGGAGCCGCGGGGTGGGGTCGGGGCTTGGCCGGGCTGGCCCAGATGCCCGCAGCGCGCGCGGGCCCCGCGCTTGCCCGCTCAGGCCGCTTTGCCCCGCACCCCTTGGTCCGGGGCGGCGTGTGACCCGGCCGTGCCCGCAGGCAAGGTGCCCGGCGACGACTGCCCGCTGGTGTGGGGCCAGTGCTCGCACTGCTTCCACATGCACTGCATCCTCAAGTGGCTGAACGCGCAGCAGGTGCAGCAGCACTGCCCCATGTGCCGGCAGGAGTGGAAGTTCAAGGAGTGAGGCCCGCCGAGGAGCCGCGCGGGGACAGCCGCCCGCCGCCGCTCCGTGACACTTTACCCAATAAAGAAAACTCATTAACGCCCGCGCCTGGCCCGCGGCACCTGCCTGCTCGTCCCTGGTGCGCCGCCTGGCCTGCGAGACGGCGTCAGGTCCCCCTCTGAGCTGCCCCGCGGGGCCTGAGTCAGCTGGGTGGGCGGGCGCCTGGGGGGCGACCCCCGCGTCCCAGACGGGCGGGAACACTGGTGGGCGGAGGCCTCTGGCTGACGGCAGGCCCTGCCCTGCCAGCGGGCGCTGGCTGAGACGCCTCAGACTGCCGGTCCAGCTGGGGGCGCCGGGCCCCGGCCCCCTGCCCGCCCCGGGGCCCGTGGTTACTGTTCCAGTCCCCGTGGGCAACCAGCCCCCGGTGCTTTTTCTCCGCCTGTTTCCAGCTCTTGGGGAGTGCGCCCCGTCCTTTGTGGGGGCACCCCGCCTCCCGCCTGCACACAGTGCCCAGAGAAAAGAAGGCCCACTTGCCCCTCAGCCCAGGCCATGGGTCCTGCCAGGGCAACCCCCCCTTCCTGCTGCTGGGGATGGTCCTGGCGGGGACTGGGGTGCCCAGCAACTGTGGGGCACGCTGTGGCTCTCTGGGTGCCTCCCTGGCCCTGCAGTCAGGCCGCACAGGCGGCGCGGCAGGGCCTCTGCTCCCTGAGGTCTTGGGGGGGACGGGGCTGAGGGGGTCACTGTGCCCTGGAGAGAGCAGGTGCTGGCTGGCAGCGTCCTGGGGTACCCTGACGGCTTAGGTCTGGACCTGAGCTTGTTCTGGCTCCCCAGCTGGCTCTCCAAGGGGTCCCACCGCCACACCCCACTCTTGACGGGGCGTGTGGGGGCCCAGTCGTGTGGTGCTTCCCCCCTTGTGAACCAGGTAGATTCTCTCCCCCGTTCACAGCTGGCCCCATGCTTTCTGGGGCTGTTTCCTGGGGTCTGGCCTTGATCCCCAAAGGCTGGACACGCCATGGCTGCCAGTCCCGTCCTGCTCCCTGGCACTGGTCCTCCCATCGCCCGCGGCCTCGGAGGAGAAAGGAGCCCCTGCCCCATCCTGAGGGCACCCTGGACTGCGGTGCCACCCTGCCACCCTCTCCTCCCGGGGTGGGCCTCCTTCCTGGTGGCGTGGGCACCCCAGCCAGCTGGGACCCTGGGGGGGTCCGCCAGGCGAGACTGGGCTGGCCCCCAGGCCCCCCCAGTGCTGCCCGTTGCTCCGCGGCGCCTCAGGGCCTGGGTGCCCTGGGCCCGCGCCCCGCAGGCGCGGCGGCGGGTGGGCGGTGGGGGGTGTGGGCCCCGCCCCGCCGCGGGTATAAGGGCCGCGCTCGGAGCCCCGCCGCCCGTCCTCGCCATGGCCCGCCCCGCGACGCTGCTGGCCGCCGCCCTGGCGCTGTGCCTGCTGCCGCGCGGCCTCGCGTGGTACAAGCCGGCGGCCGGGCCCGGCCACTACTCGGTGGGGCGCGCCGCGGGGCTGCTGTCGGGGCTCCGCCGGGCCCCCCACGCGCGGCGCTCCGACCCTCCGCGGGGCGCCGCCCGGGAGCTGCGCGAGGGTCTGCGCAGCCTGGTGAGTGCGGCGGCCCCGGGGTGGGGCGGGGGGCGCGGACCCAGCCCTGACCCCCGCGCCCCCGCAGGCCGTGTGCGTCCGGGACGTCTCCCCGAACCTGCGGAGCTGCGAGCGCCTCCCGGGCGGCCGCGCCACCTTCCAGTGCCGGGCCGACGTGCTCCTGTCGCTGCGCGCCGCCGACTGCCGCGGCGCCTGAGCCGCGCCCCGCGGACGTGGCGACCCCAGTAAACGGCCGCGTCAATAACCGAAAAGCGGGTCTCCGAGTGTCGGGGGGGGGGGACCTTAGGCGCCTGCCCGCGGAGCCCTCGCCGCCCCCGCCCGCCGGGCACAGCCGCGGAGCTCCGGCCACACCCTCCGGGCTCCCCAAAGCTTAGAGGCCGCGGGGAACTCCTGTGCACGCCCTGCCTCCTTGCCCCTCCTGCTCCAGCCCACCCGAGGCTGCTCCTCCTGAGGGAAGGGCCCGGGACCTGCACGCCCTGCCTGCCCACCAGTGTCAGGGCCCACGCAGGGCTCCCTGGGGGTACAGCCCAGGGCCCCGCCCAGCCGATCGGTAGCCCCTGAAGCCTGGGCCAGCTGGCAGTGGGTGAGACAGGAGGGGCTGGAACTGTCCATCTGGAGCCTGCCTTCCTGGGGCCCCCGCATTCCACCTTGGCGGGGACTCTGGGGGCCTGGCCTCTGCTGCTGCCCAGAGCAGTCGTGGTCCCCACTCAGTGCAGGAGCTGCTGCCGGGTCCCCCCAGTGTGCTTCACCGGCTGGACTGACGCAGCGGCCCAGGTGGGCAGGTGCAGCGAGGGCCCCAAGCCTCACCCAGCCTAGCCCTTCCCGGCCTGAGGGAGCAGGGCGATGCCTCCAGGCTGGGGGTGCGAACCCTCAGGGTCCTGCCATTCAGTCTTCAAGTCAGGCCTAGGACAGAGCTAGAGAGAAAGGAGAGGACCAGCCCCCCACACCCGTGGACACCATGGCGGGGAGCCCTGGGGGATGGAAACCACCACACCCTCCCTGAACCCGAAACCACTGCCCGCGTGACAGGCTGCTCCACGTGACCCCAGCTGGGGTGTGGGAGACGCTGCAATGTGGGGGAGCCGGGCCCAATCCCCAACTGGAAGGAGTGGCCTCGGGAACCAGGGGGCGTCAGATTCTGGGCCAAGGGACCTTGCCTGCCCCTCCTGTCGCCCCTGCTGCTGGCGGGGCAGGGGCAGGAAGGAGCCCACACGGATGCCTCCACTGGCTTTATTGGGTGGCACAGACTCCCCCCCCACCCCGCCCGGTGCGTGGGCAGCAGAGGTTGGGGGCCGGCCTGTGGGGGGCACGACCAGCACCCTGGGGAGGAAAGGGGGCGGCCACCTCTGTCACCGCCCCTGGCGCCAGGCCAGCGTGGGGGGCGGGAGCAGCAGCGGAGGGGACGGCCGGGCGGAAGTGCCTGTCCTGTGGGCCCCGTGGGGCCGCGGGGCGGGAAGGGCGCCTGGGGGCAGCCCCTGGCCTGTGCTGACCCCGGGCTGCGCCGAGGGAAACCTGTGGCTAGTCAGCCGGCAAGCCGGAGTTGGGGGCGCAGACCCGGGCGGGCGGCTGCAGGCCTCCGGCGCCTTCTTCCCTGGGTCAGAAGTCAGGGGCACTCTCCTTCGGGGGGCGGTCCCCCTTGCCGCCGCAGTGCCTCCAGGAAGGCCAGCTCCTTGGCCTCCTTCTTCTGGTTCCGGGCCTCGTACTCAAGCCTGGGGGGTCAGGCTGGGTGAGCTGGGGCCCGGGCTGGAGCTCAGGCTGCCCCCCCGCGCCCCCCCCTCACCTGTTCTGGATGATGCGCTGCACGATGAGGTCCGTGGTCAGGTCGTTGCGGCTGTCCACCTGGCGGAAGAGGCCCCTTCTCTTGGGCTCCTGGAGGCAGGCGGCGGCGAGGGCATGAGGGCCTGCCCCAGGCCAGGGGTGCCCGGGGACAGGCTGCCGCCCACCCCGCCGCCCGCCCACCCACCTGGTAGGGGTCCGAGCCGTCCTTGTCCGGCACGACCTCCGTCTTCCCGTGGCACACCAGGTCCACCTGGGGAGAAGCCAGGTCAGGGGCCTGCCTGGCCCACCCGGGGCACCCACGGCCCCGCGCCTCCTGGAGCCTCACCTTGAAGTGGTCCAGGAGCTCGGCCGTCACCGAGTAGGGGGCCCCGATCACCACCTCGGACACGTACTACAAGGGGGGCGAGCTGGTTGGCAGGGCTTGGGGAGTGCGGGGCGGGGGCGGTTGGGGGGCACCAGTAGGAGGGGGCGGGGGGCGGCGCACGGGCGGGCTCACCCGGCAGGCCAGCACGCTCAGGGTGCGCTCGTGCAGGTTCATGATCGGGTAGTTCTTCCCCTTGTAGCGGTTCACCTCCTAGGCCGGAGCGGGCGGGTCAGCGGGCAGCAGGGCGGGCCGACCCCTCCCGTCGTCCCCGGGGGTGCCCGCCAGCAAGGAGGACAGGCCACAGCACATCTCCTTGGCCGTCAACAGCACCCCGGGGCCCCCTCTCGGCCGTCAGGGCGAGACCTGGTCAAAGTGCAGGCCGGCGATGACGTAGGGCCGCTCCGCCAGGCCGTGCGCCTGCTCCAGGAAGTCCACGTGGCCGATGTCTGGGCGCGGGTTAAGGAGCAGGTAACGGCAGGGAATGGGGGCAGTTGGGGACGTGCAGAGCAAGGCTGGAGCTGGGCCGCGCAGCCCGGGAGGATACGGAACAGGTCGAAGGCGCCGGCCACGTAGATGACGGTCTCGCCCGGCTGCGGCTCCTTGCCAGAGGCAAACTGGATGATCTTCTGGGACGTCTGCAGGAACTGGGACACCCCCGTCCAGGGGTTCCGCCCCCCTGGGCACTGGAACACGAGAAAGGACTGGTCAGCAGCAAAGACCTTGGGGGGCCCTCCCCTCTGTCTCCTGCGCCTGGGGCTGCCTGCCTGGTGTGGGATGGAGGAGCAGGGGGGGGCCAGGCCTCCGAACCACTCGCAGAACCCTGCCAGCCCACTGGGGTCCCTCGGGTGCTGTTTACCGGCAGGTGTCTGGGCAGGGAGACCACCGGCTGGCGGGCAGCACCCAGACCCCGGAGCCAGCAGGCCCCCTACGGCGACAGAGTTGTGCGCCACCCCCTGGCCACAGCAGGTGCTGCAGCCAAGGTGCTAGGGCGGAGCACCCCCAGGCCAGGAGGCTAGCGGCCCAGTGGGGGCCCGCCCTGAGGCCACCACCTGGTCACCTGGGAAGAGCCTTCTGAGCAAAGTGTCTCCCCGGCGGGTGTCGGGTGAGGGGGCTACAAGGGAGAGAGGACCAGGCCGCCTGTTAGAGACCACAGTTCTCGGGGGTCCTGTTCCTCCTCCGGGCAGGAGCTACCGTGGCTGCCAGCCTGGCGGTCAGAACCCGGGAGGCGGGGAGCAGGTGGGGCTGCGGGCACTCACCCTGCCGAAGCTGTCCGCGTACGCCCGGCACTCCGAGGACATCTCCTGTGCAGAGGGCAGCGCTGAGCGGCCTGGTGCTCAAGGCACAGCCTGCCCACGGCACCCAGCCAGCCCAGGATCTCGCCCGGCCCCGGCTCACCTGGCTGCTGTGATGGGCTTTGGTGACCAGCAGCATGCGGCCCACCAGGTCTGTGGTGGACACGCCCTGGGTGCGCTTACACTCCCTGGGGACAGAGGCAGGCTCAGGACCCATACCGGACATGCCAGCGCCCCCAACCCTGCTACTGCACAGCCCACAGCCCGCGGTCCTGGCAGCGCACACCAGGCATCTCGCTGCTTCCGGCCTCGGCAGAAGCCCAGGCAGGAGAGGGAGGCCAGGGCCCCGCAGCCTGAGCGCAGGGAGAGAGACAAGGTGTCGAACCCTACATTCACCCGCGTGCAACGTGGGGCGGGCACGCCTGGCTGTCGTGGCGGCTGTTCCCTGTGAACCTCCGGCCCCGCCTGCCGCGCCTGTGGCCGCCCGAGAAGCCCTAACCACTGTTCCTTTCAGAAGCTAAGTAAGCCGCGGGCCAGCTCCTCCGCTCACGGCCTGGGCCGCAGCCTCCAGCCTCAAAAGCCTGGTCTCCCCGGGGGCGCCAGGCACAGCCCCGCCTTGTCCCCCAGGAAGAAGAGCCAGAGGGACTCAGCCCGGCTGTGAAAGGCAGCGCGGGGAGAGACTCGCCTGTATCTGCCCGCCCGCTTCACTTCCTCATAGGTGTCCCGGCCGTCCACGGTCAGCGTGATGTCATCTGGGGTCAGAAAGAGCAGGACTCTTACCTGGAAACCGTGAAGTCCCCCAGCACCCGTGACCCCCATCCCAGGTGGCCCTGGGGTGCCTGACCCACAGGCAGGGAAGGACCCAGAACCTTCCCGCCCGCAGGAGGGTGGCCCCGGCTCAGTGGCCCACCCGGCCACTCACTGCCGTGGACGCAGAAGTCGCAGTTGTGCTTGTCCAGCGTCTCCAGCGTGGTCACGTAGGGCGCCGCCGGCACCACCTCGTCCACCCACTTGATGGCCTGCACCATCCTGTACCTCTCCTCCTGGGTGAACACGGGGGGGCCCTTGTGCTTGGCGATCTCCTCTGGGGTCAGAGACAAGACCAGGCGGGCAGTGAGGGCAGGCACTGGGCGCCCCAGGTCTGTTCTGCCAGCACCTGCCCGGGAGGCGGCCCGGCCACAGGGCTGAGGCTGGGCCACCTGCTGCCCAGTGCCTGCCTCCTGCGGGGAGCCCTGGGGTGGGGACGTGTTGGGTCACGGACACGGTCCTCACCAGCCGGGGTCAGGAAGACTTGGGGGCCCCCTTTGAGTGCTCCGTCCCAAAGGCATGGGGAAAAGCGGGGCCCGGGTGGGGTGCAAGGCCCTGCCACAGATTGCAGGGTCGGCCACCCCTGCCTGTCCGGGGCTCAGACCTGAGCCCAGGCGCGAGAAGAGGGGTGAGGGGTGCACTGGGGGGGCTCCGCCGCCCTGGGCCGGGCCCACCCCGGACGGCGGCGGGGCGGGGCCTACCGTCGGTGTGCACCCCCACGACGAGGCAGTCGCCCATGGCCCGCGCCTGGCGCAGCTGGTTCGAGTGGCCGTAGTGCACCATGTCGTAGCTGCCGGGAGAGCGCGGCACCGGCTGAGGCGCCTCCGAGGGCCCTCTGGGCTGCCGCCGTCGCTGGCCTGGGCCTCCTCGGCCCCACGGCCCCCGCGGGGCTCGGCCGGCCCCCGCCGGCCCTCCTCCCTCCGCGCCGCAGCGGCGGCCCCTGCGCGCCCACGGCGGCCGGGGGGGCGGGGCGGGGCGGGGCGGGGCGCGGCTGCGGCCGGGCCGAGGTCGGAGTCCGCCCGCACCGGCGGCGGCGGGGCCCGCAGCCCGGGCCGGCCAGAGGGGCTGCCCCCGGCGGGGGCCACCGGGGCGCCCCGGAGCCGCGAGGCCGGCCCTGCTGCCGGCCCGAGGTGCAGGCGCCGGGGCCCGGGGTGAGCGGCCGCGGCTCCCGCGGGGGGCCCGGAAGGCGTCCGGGAGCAAGGCCGGTCGGCGCGCGCGCCCGCCCGCCCGCCCGCGCGCCCGCGCTCACCAGCCGTCGCACCACACCCGCACGGCGCGCCTGCCCCCCGGGCCCGGCGGCTCGGCGCCGCCCGCCGCCCCGTGCCCGTTCCGGATCATGACCCGCGGCGGCGGCGGCTCGGGCTCCGGGACTCGGCGGCCGCCGCCCGCGCACGCGCCCTGCCGCCGGCCGCCCCCGCGCGCCGCCAATGGCCGCGCCCGCCCCGCCCCCCGCGGCCGCGCGGCCCGCCCCGGCCAATGGCGGCGCGCGGCCCGGAGGCCCCGCCCCGCCCCACCCCGGCCAATGGCGGCGCGCGGCCCGGAGGCCCCGCCCCGGCGCGGGCCAATGGCGGCGCGGCGGTCAGAGAGGCGGGGGCCGGTCGGAGACGTTTATTGACGGTACAAGCCGCGGCGGCCGCCCCACGCCGGCGCGGGGCCCGGGAGGCCGCGGGCCGCGCGGGGCAGGCGGGCGCCCGAGGGCGGCCTGGGGGCGCGGCCGGCAGCGGGCGGCGGCCGCCCGGCCGGTCCCGCGAGTCCAGTCTCGGGCCGCGGCCTACGGGACTCTCCTCCTCTTGGGGCGCTTCGCGCAGCCCCGGCCGAACCAGCCGCCCGGGCCGGGGCCGGGGCCGGGGCCGAGAGGCGAGCCCCGCTCCCCCGGCGCGGCCTCCTCCGGGCTCCGGCGCAGCGGTCTCCGGCTGTGGCTGCCCTCCTCGCCGGCACGCAGGGGGGTCGCCAGGGAGAAGATGGGGTCCTGCCACCTACCGAGAAGGGAAGGCGGGGCCGGGGTGAGGCTCGTGCGGCGCGGGCCAGGCGGCCCTGCCTCCCTCCCCGGCCGGCCCACGCTGGGCTCTGCTGGGCCGCAGTCGCGGCCCCCGAGCTCCGGGCCGGAAGCCGCGGGGAAGGCCCGGGGCTGGCGCCCAGGCCCGCGCCTCCGCCCGCCGCTGCCCGCCTGGCCGCGGGGTGGGAGCGCGCGGCGGCGGCGGCTCCGGGCCCCACGGCCGGCCGGCTGGCGGGCCAGCCCCTCTCCCCTTCCCAGACCGCCAGACCCGGGGTGGGGGGAGGCCGCTGCCGGGAGGTGCGGCCCGGCCCGCACGCTACCCCGTGAGGGCGTATGTCTGAGATGCAGAACCACAGTTATAAACGCAAGATGCAGATACACACCGAGAAAGAACATGAGCTAAGTTAATGTGAACAAAAAGGTGCGATACACAGAGGCCCACGTCACAGACACCACAAACATAACATACAAGAATTGCCAGGCCCAGAGGCGAAGGGATCCTTAATTCTTGAACCCTTTGATTAAAAGAAGTTACTGATTTCCCCTAAAAGACCCTGAAAATTCACAGAGAGAGAAAGTGTAAACTTCACGCAGTACACACGCCACGTCCCGCACCACACGCTCCCTAGCAAGGCAGTCTGTTGCGCATCCCCAGCCTACGCCGGCGCCCAAGACCGAGTGTGCCGGGCAGCGGGACAGGACTCGCGAGGGGCGTCCTTCCCGGCCAGCCGTGAGGCCGAGGGCGGGCCTTGTGTCCTGCGTGCCCCGCGCTGCCCCGGGGCCTCCCACGCCTCAGCGCGGCGTCACACTCAGATGGCAAGAGAAGACGGGCAGGGGGACGGGGCGAGCGCCGGGCCCCTCACCTGCTGTAGGTGGGGATCTCCAGGCCCAGTTCGCCCATGAGGAGCCGCATGACGTCATCACACTTCCCGTGGAGCTTCAGGGCAGCCCCGTCGTCCTTTGGGGTCCACTGTGGACAGGGGAGGTCAGTGAGGGCAGCCGAGCTCCTCCCCTGACCCCTGCCTTGTGGACTCCGGAGGTGGATGTCCCGGGGGCATCCTCTGGCTCTCCTAAGGCCCAGGTCTCCGGAAAGGGCTGGCCACGCCCCGAGTGTCTGCACTACCTGCAAGTTCACGATGTAGAGCTTGGGCCGCCGGCTGGGGGGCTTGGTCATGCACCAGAGGCGCGGGTACTTCTTCAGCACCTACGGGAACGAGCGGACAGACCCGTGCAGCAGACGAGGTCCCCAGGCGCTGGGTCTGAGGCAGCCCACCCTGCCCCGTCTGCCGCGTGTACCTTCAAGCTAGAGCCCAAGCACAGGATGGCGTCAGCCTTGTTGGCCGCCTGGGTGGCTGCCCCCCAGTTCAGGGGCTGTCCCAGAGTCCCCCTCTCCCCGAAGTGCACGATGGTGTCCCGCAGCGGGGCCCCACATGCATGGCAGGCCCGGCCCGTCTGGTGCCGGTGGAGGGCTGTCCGCTCAGTCACATCGAACTCCCGCACGTACTCCCTGTTGGGGGTGCAGGCAGTGCAGACCTGGGGAGGAGAGGGTATGGTGAGCGCGGCCCCCGCCACCCAGCCCAGGCCCAGCGTGGCCACTCACCTCGATGTACATGTTCCCGTGGAGCTCGGAGATGGCGGTGCGGGGCAGCCCGCTGCGCAGATGGAGCCCGTCGCAATTCTGAGACACCACGTGCTGCACCTGGCAGCCAGGGCGGCGTCAGCAGTGGGGTGCGGGGAGGCAGCTCGAGGGTGGCGCCCAGCAGGACTCCAGGCGGGGGTGCAAGGAGCCGGCAGCCCCAGCAACCCCACGCCTTTGCGGGACCCTGACAGGTAGGGGCGGGCCCCTCAGGCTCGCTCTCTCTGTCAGGTCTCTGGAGGCCCAGGGGAACCACCCTGTCCCCAGGAGCGTGGGCAGAGGGCCCAGGAGCTCTGGCCCAGGTTGGGCCTGTGCGCGACGGCCCAGAGCCTGCCCTTTTCTCTCAGGGAGGGAGCCAGGGGCAAGAGGGGGTCTGAGCCCTGAGCCAGCACCATCGCAGGTCCCCAGTGCATGCGCCTGGGTGGGCTTAGTGCTTGGGCACCCAGGGCAGGAGCCCCCTTCCTACTGCGACTGCTCTTACCAGCTTCCGCTCATGTAAGCGCGCGATGCTCATGTGGGTGAGGGTGGGCTCGGCCTGGCTCAGGTCGGTGGCACTGCCAGCAGAGAGAAGTGGGGTGAGGGCAGCGCCAGGCGAGGACCCTGCCCAGCCCGGGGGAGGGCCACACTGGCTGCTCACCTCACACTTCTCCCTTTCTGCAGCAGCGTCCACACTCCATTAGGGCCCCGGTAGTCTGGGATAGAAGCTGCCTGAATGTTCACAAAGAAGATCAGCCCGGCGAGAAGACGTCACCGCAGGTGCTGGCAGAGCTCCCAAGGGTAGGAGCCAAGTGCTTCTCCCAATGTGCTCTGGGCTGCCCTCAGAGTGGCCTCTCCATGGTACAGGCTCCACCTTGTCTAACCTGCTCGGGCCAGCTGGCTGCACCCCACGGCCCCTGCCTCTGCCTGGACCCCTGCTCCCATCTTCCGGGGTCACCCTCCAGGCTGCCAAAGCGCTGTCCTCCGCTGGGAGGGGCTGGAGGATCAGGCCACCTGGGAACGTTCCCAGCAGAGGCGCTCCAGGTGGGAGTGTGCCCGTCAGGACTGGTCCAGCCCGCAGGCTGCCTCCAGCGCACTGAGCACTGAATGCAACTTCCTAAGGCCCTGATCCAATGACACAAATCCACCCAGAAGGCGGGTGCCTGGGTTGAGATGTCTGCTGCTCCCAAGCCCAGTGGCCTCCCTTGTGGGGAGCCCGGTCTCACCCTACTTCCCGAGCTCAAAACATCCTGACCAGTGGCTGTGACTCACATGAGAGAAGGGGCCTTGGGGACAGCACCCCGCAGAGCAAAGGAACAGCCGTGCGTGGGTGAACAGCCGCCGGGCTCTCAGGGGCTGTGCCGCTGTTCTGAAGCCGCTGCATGAGCAGGCGCCCCTGCCGGGGGCTCAGCAGAAGCAGCGAAGGCGCCCTGACCCGGGCCTCTGAGGTCCCCTGGGGGACTGCCGGCTCCGCCTCCACCCAGCCGGCCCAGCCCACGGGGCCCGGACATCGCACCGGAGGGGGCGCGCAGCTTCTCCCCAGGACGGGAATCCTCGGTGCCCAGCCCGGTCGGGCGCGGGGGCGCGCACGCCCCCCGCAGAGCTGGACTCGCTCCGCGGCCCAGGCTAGCTCCTCCAGAAATGTCTCCAAACGTGAGCGTTCCCCGCGGGCCCGTGGCGGGCCCTCTTTCGGGGACTCGGCCGACGCGGCGCGCAGAGATCCGGAGCCCGGCCCGGCCCGGCCCCCGGCGCCTCCAGCGGGGCGCCCCGGGCGGCGAGGGGCGCGCGGCCGCCTACCGTGCTGATGCCCGCGCCGGTGTAGACCACCAGGAACTTGGCGCCGCGCACGGCGCCCGCCAGCTCGCGCACCTTCCTCCGCAGCTCGTCGGGGGCGTCGCACACCTGCGGGAGCCGGCCGTGAGCGCCGCCCGCCGCCCGCCGCCGCCGCCCCCCGCCCCGGCGCGCCCGGACTCGCCTCCTCCAGCCGCCGCTTCAGGCCCTCGCGCCGCCGGCTCCGGCCCTGCAGCTCGGCCACCAGGTCCGCGCTCTCGGCCAGCAGCCGGCCCTCCTCGGCGCTGCGCTCGGCCGCCGCCTTCCTCAGGATGCGCGACACCTGCGGGGCGGGGGCGTCAGCGCGCGCGGGCCCGGGGGGGGCCCGGGGGGCCGGGGGGCGCCCACCTGGCGGAGACGCTCCCGCTGCTGCTCCTCCCGCAGCCTCCGGACGCGCTCGGCCGCCTTGCGCTCGCAGCGGCTCAGGCCCCCGGCGGCCATGGCGCCCGCCGCGCTTCCGCTTCCGCCTCCGCCCCGCCTCCCGGCAGCCCGCGCGCGGCGCATGCGCCCGCCCGCCCGCCCAGGAAGGCACCTGCCAGTCTTTTAAAAGGCGTTTATTGGTCATATACAAAATAAAGAAAACCTTGTATATCACAAACATACACTATGTACAGCAATAAATACCGGGCAGGCCCAGCGCCGCCCTCCTGGACAATAATTTAGCAATAAATACGGGAGCGGCCCGGCCCGGCGCCCCGCCCCGCCCCGCCCCGCCCCGCCGGGGCTCCGGGCCGCAGGTGAGGCCGGGCCGGGCCGCCGGGCCGGGCCGGGCCGGGCGGGCTGGGGCTCCAGGCGGCCGCGGGTCGTGGGGACGCTCCCCAGCGCGGACCGGACACCGAGCCCAGGCTGCGGGGCGCCCCCCTCTGCGCACGGCACCCCCGCCTGCCCCGACCAACCGCGACAGGAAGGCAGCACATGCCGGAGAATTACTCAGTGGCTTCTGGGGAAAGAAATCGTTAAATGGGCTGGTTCCTTTCACCAAACCGCAGCCTAAAAAAGTAACTTAGGCGATCCCAGAACGGAAACGGTGCTGCGGGCGGTGGCCCGGGCTTCCCAGCCGTGGACAGCAGCTCTGGCCAAACGGCAGCCCCAAGCAGGGAGGCAGCGGGGACAGGCCGCGGCAGACAGGAGTGTGGGCTCGGGCGCTGGGGCCAGGCAGGCTGCCCTGACAGCCTGAGGAGATGCCAGAGGCCCAGACCCTGGCAGGACCCGGGCGGTGGCCAGAGGGAGGCGGCACCTGAACCGCAGCTGTCTTCTGCCTGCCCAGTGGTGGCACTCCCTGGCCACAGCCAGGGCCCGCGGGCAGGCCTCCCTGGCCACGTTCGGCCGGAGCTGACCTGTTCCCACAGGGTCCTGGGAGATCTGAGTGTCCGTGCTGGGGGAGAGAGGAGCTGTACCGGGCAAGCTGGGAGGCGCGGCGCACAGACGACCACTTAGCACACAAGCTGGGAGACTCGGCCTCGGCCAAAGCCCTTGCTTGGCTGTATCAGAAAGTCAAGAAGAAGGAGGGAGAGAACATGACACTCCACAGAGAAAACTAAACCAACGAGAACCAGAAAGACACCGACCGGCCACGCAGGGACACAGATTACTGTCAAGAAGCTGAGGGCAGGGGAAGGGGCAGCGGCCTGAAGGGCTGGCCTGCTGGAAACTGGTGCGCTCCCCACACTGGAGGACAGTTGCTCGAGTCCCACAGACTGGAAGGGGGAGGATGGACTTCAGAAGCTTCTCCTGTAAAGCAAACGGGGCACTAAACCCAAGCCCCCTCCTACGTGTCCCAGGTCCCCAGCCAGTGGAGGTGGGCAGCTGGAGGGGCACCTCCAGCTGGGCCAGGGCCTGCCAGTCACCTCTGGGCCCCAGGTGGGCACATGACTGCAGGGCAGGGTGTGATTCAGGACGTTCGACCATCTCCACAGCAGGCCAACTGGGGGCAACCAGGGTGGCGGTGGGGTGGGGGGGCAGACTGCGCATCCAGGGGCGAGAAAGACCCGCAGAGAGAGGCAGCACTGGACAGCACGAGTCCACTGTAGCGCACGGGCAGACCGGCTGGATTCTGCTGTGCATGGGGCTAAGTCCTGCTGCGTGCACTGGGCTCCTGCCAGACTACGCTTCTGTGCTTCCCACAGGTGCAGGGCCCTCAGTAATCCCATGTGGCCAGACAGGACAGTAGCCTCTTGGGGGCAGCCCCCCTCACATGCATGGGAGGGGTCCGAGCGCCAAACCTGGGAGAGCGGCCGGCTCTGCGGAGCAGCCTGGATGGGGTGGGCGGGCGCCAGAGAGCACCTCCAGAAGCCGAGCGGCTGGTCTCAGGAAGACACGGATCCCAGAAGGTGGGAGGGGCCCGAGGCTGAGAGCTGCCAGCACGTTCCAGGGGACATGGGGGACGGAGTGGGCCCTCGAGACTCCGGCCCCATCTGGCCCTGGTGAGGATTCCCCACCCAGGCCCTCCAAGTGAGGCAGGGAGGGGCCGCCGGGCCTCCACCCCCAACCCGGCGCTGCCAGAAGCACCACCCGAGGCATGGAACAGTCTGGGTTAAGTGGGCAGTGGGTCTTGCACCCGATGCGGCCCCTGGGGTCCCCGCAGAGCCACATGGAGCCAACAGGAGCACAGCCGGAGCTGGCTGGGGCCCCAGCTGTTAACTGAGTCCAGAAGGAAGACGGCCCGGGCGTGCCTATGGGCGCCCACAGTGGCTCCTTGGCCCCTGCAGAGCCGCCCCCAGGGATATGGAAGCGGCTTGGGGGGCCCCCAGGTCCGCCTACCAGGCCATGGGGTCAGACGCTCAACCCGAGACACTCGCGAAGCCACTGGTGGCAAGGAGGGCAAGGCCCAGCCCGCACGTGCCACCCACAGCCCGGGGCAGGCACCGGAGCAGAGAGGCCGGCCGGTGGCCTCGGCCCGGCAAGCCAGCGGAAGCCAGAACACAACCAAATCCGAACAACACAGGAAGACAGACACGAGCAGTGACACCCACGGGTCAAAGGTCACCAGAAGCACCAGCACAGGACGCGCACGAGACGCACCAGGCACGAGGACAGCGCGGCGCGCGGCAGCGGAGGGCGGCTCAGTCACTGGCGGCGCAGTCGCGGGGAGCAGGGCGCCCGGCCGGCGGCGGCGGCGTTTTTTTTGTCTTTTTTTTTTTTAAACTAAGTTTTATAAATAACGTCTGGCAGCTCTGTGCATATCAAAACTAAACTCCAACGGCCACGGAGCCTTGTCCGCGCTCACGGGCAAGGGTCGCCTGTCACGCCAACAGGGCGCCGGTACCCCTTGTCCCTCTCGCCCCTGAGAGCGCGTGTTCCTGCTCGCTTGCTTTCGAAGGACAGTTTCATAAATACTCTGCAGCTTTTCTTTCTTTAGCTTTTAAACATATAATTTAATAACTCCGTCAAAGGAACTTCTCTCTTAAATAAAGGGCTATGTGAGCACACCGACGGGGCGTGTAAACAGCGACACGGGACCCAGCGCAGGACACACGGACACACCCGCACGGACGCTCACAACCAGCGATTGGGTCTTGTCAGTGCAACGGGGGTGGGGGGGGCACCCAGGCCCGGCCCCGTCCCATGGCGCCCGCGCCAGGCCGAGCAGCCCCGGCCCTCGCGGGCCCCTGCTCTCCGCGGCAGCACCCACCGATGCCTGCTCGGCCCTCCCTGCCGGGCGGCTCCCCACAGGCCCTGGGAGCGGGCGGCCGCCCTCCCGCCCTGGAAGCCCCGAGCGAGCCCGAGGGGCGCCTCGCTGCCTGCTCCCGCGGGGCCGGCACTGGTCTCCGAGCCCACGCGGCCTCGGTGTAAAGTGGGCCGGGGCGCCCCCCACGTCACTGCCGAACTGACCGATCCAATGTACAAAATACACGATGACAACGACGAGATCAAAGGGGCTCAGCCCAGCGCCCCTGGGGTGCAGGTTGTGCTTTGCAGGGGAGGAGGGAGGAGGGCGGGGCGGAGAGGAGAGGGGACGGGGCGGCCACGCCCCCCGAGGCCCGCCCGGGCGAGCACATCCCTACGACCGGGCGTCCGTCTTGGACTTTACTATCGTGATGACGCTGGTGGCGGCCACCTTGCCGGGGACGAGGGGCCCGAGGCTGGCGGCCAGGGGCCCCCGCGCGGGCGCCACGGGGCTGCGGGCCACGGTCCTGGCGAAGCTCTGCAGGGCCTCGTACTTGGAGCGCAGCGCGTCCAGCTCGAGCCGCATGCTGGCGTTCTCCGAGGCCAGCTTCTCCACCTCCTGCTGCAGCTCCGCCTTCTGCTTCTCCAGCTCCTCCTTCTGCGTGACGCGCTTCACGCGGCAGCTGGCGGCGTAGCCGCGGTTCTTGAGCGTGCGCCGGCGCTGCTTCAGCTGCACGATCTCCTCCTTGCACAGGCCCCGCAGGTGCTGGTTCAGCTCCCGCACTGACATGGTCACCAGCTCCTCGTCCGTCAGGCTGGTGCCATTCTCGCCTGGCTCCCGCTTCACCTGGGGTGACACGGTGCTGGATCAGGGCCGCCCCCCCCCCACGCCGCCCAACCCCAGGGTGCCGGGTTCCCCCCCAGTCTGCTCACCTTCAAGGCCTTGTTTCCTTTATTGGGGGTCGTCATAACCCGGGGGCACAGCAAGCAGGCACTCTGGGAGACAAGGGGCAGAGGTCAGGACCCCAGAGACCAGCCCAGCATCCTCCCCCAGCCCCCCGCCACAGTGCCGTGCCCCCGCGGCCCGTCCCCGGTCCCCAGCCTCACCCCAGCCCCTGGTACCTGGCCCCAATGACTGCCCTTCGACCTCGTCTCTCCCAGTGGGCAACTCTCTGTCCACCCTGCCCCTAGAGAGCCAGCTGGAAGGCCAGCAGGGGCTGGGGGGAAGGGGAACTGGAGGCTGTTAGGGAGGCCACGGCAAGGAGAGGGGCTGGGGGCGCGGTGAGAAGGGTGCAGGAGGGGCCAGCCCAAAAGGAAGCCGGGAGCTTTAAAAATAACCCCAGAGCGCCCCAGAGCGCGGCTGTTCCTGGCGAGTCATGCTGACTCAGCACCCCGCCTCCCGCTCCCTCACCACGGGGCGGGCGGGCACTCCCCCAGGCCGCCAGCCAGCACAGCCCCAGGGGACCGCAGCCCCGCAAGCCAGAGCCCGCCAGAGCCTGGGCCACAAAGGCTGCCCCAGCAGGTGAGGGCTGGGCGGGACCCTGCCCTGGGCCTTCTGCTCCTACCTCCTACAGCTGCCTCCCCAGTGGGCCCGGGCCAGCCCTGCTCCCCGAAAGACCGAGGGGTCACCCCCTGGGGTTGGGGTACAGGGGAGGATGCAAGAGAATCCAACTTTTCCAGGTTTTCTCCAAAGCCACCAGCCCCACCTCCAGGCACAGGATGCAGCCTCCCAACCCAGCTGCAGTGGAGCAACTGCCCGCGGCTTTCTGTTGCAGCATCCTGCCCCCCGCCCAGCCACCCCGCCCCATATGTCCCAAGATGCCCGCAACAGTCCTGGGTGGGGGGGTAGGGGACTGTCCAGCCCCCCACCCTTCCCTCACCCCACCCTGTTCCTGCTCTTGAAGCCCCGCCAAGGACAGTTCCACACAGGGGTCGCCCCAGCGGCCCACTGCAGGTGGGTGCGGTGGGTGCAGGTCTGTCCAGAGTGGGGATTGCTCATCAGCCCCGCACGGGAGGGCCACCAGGGCCCCAGCAGAGGAGCGAACAGCCGGGGGTGGGGAGATCCTAGGGCCTCACACACACCTTGGCGCCAGACCCTCTCAGCCAGCCCGAGCAGCTCCCCCAGTCCTGAGCTCAGAGTCGGGGTGCAGGGACCCTGCCCGCCAACAGGAAAGGCCCAGGCCGGCCCCACTGTTTCCCGTTAGCCGACCCCTGCACCCCGTAGCACCCCGCAGTGCATGGAAAGTGCTTCCTGACAGATTTCACCAGGGAGGTGGCTGGATGCCCCAGGCAAAGGTGGGCATGGGGGAGGGGCAGCCTTGCCAAATAGGATGGGCTTCCAGACTGGACGGGCAGGGAGGGTGGCTCCAACAGCCCAAGAGAGAGGCTCCCACAGGCCAAGTCAAGGAGAGGCTGCTCCTGCCCACCTCCTGACCCCACAGACTGGCCCCAACTGCAGGGTCAGCCTTCTTGCACATACCCCCTCACCTTGCCCCCCCAGAGCCTGAGGCAGCGCCTACTTGGTGGAGACAGCAGGACACGCCACTGAGGGACCTGGGGGGCCCGGGCAGAGGGAAGTGGCTGAAGTGACTCCATCTCCTTCCCCGGCCAGATCCAGGGCATGGGCACTAGCCAGCCCCGCCAGCCCAATGGCCCGGCTCCCCGGGGAGGGGGCAGTGAGCGCTGCTGCACCCAGACTGGCACGGGCCTCAGCCGCACCTCAGCTGGAAGCCTCAGGCACTGGGAGCCACTCTGGAAAAAGTGCCCTGACTTCCGCTGAGGCGCACAAGCAGTGAGAGGCTTGGCAACACCCTGCCCCGCAGCCTGCGTTTCCAGAGGGCCGGACTGACCCCCGCTGGGTGCGCACATGGGCTCCGGAGGGGCCCTGAGGACAGTGCACAAGGCGCCCCAGCCTAGTCGGGAACCCCTGGCAGGGTGCAGCGAGGGTCAGCTCTGGGGCACAAGAACACACTGGCAGCCAGGCCCAGGAGGGTGGCCCTGGCTGCCCACTGGGGTGGCACAGCCAAGCTGCCCGGCACCAAGACCCAGCACCGGCTGCTTGGAAACTGCTTTCTCCCGCCAGGGCGGGACCCTGCAGCTCTCCCCAGGGCCCGATTCCAAGCAGGGCTCGCCAGCTACCTGGCTCCTCCGTCGGGCTGCTTTGATTTCCCGCACAGCTGGGCCTACCTGGCCTCACACTGTGCTCTCTCGCCCAGAGCTGGGTACAGGCACCCCCTGGGCTCCCCCTCCCCCCCGCCTCCCTCTCTGGCCAGGGTGTATCGCTGCTCCCCGCCCAGCTGGCCAGCGGGCCCAGCCTCGGGGACGCCGGCTCCCGGCCCGCCCGCCCGCCCGGCTCCTCCTCCTCGCCTCGGAGCCGCTTCCCAGCTTGGGGAACCGTGCGGACGCCGCGGGGACCGGCCGCTGCGAAGAGCGCGCCCGCGGGGGGATGGACAGCCGGGGCTCCGCGCCCCGCGGGAAGCCGAGCCGCCGAGGGCCCCGCGCTCCCCGGCGCCGGCCTCGCGCTCCGCGCAGCGGGACCCCGGCGGGCGGCCGCGCGGCCCCTCCCCACCGGCCGGCCCGGCCCGGCCCGGCTCCCCGGGCGCCCGCGGTGACCTCACGCGGATGACTCAGCGGGTCTCGGCCCGGCCCGGCCGCGGGCGGCGCGCCCCGCGCTCCGCGCCCCGCGGACACCTGATGAATCAGCAGCGCCGGCCTCGGGCCTCCCCGCCCGCGCCCGCCCGCCCCGCGCCCGCGCCCCGCCCGCGCCCCGGCCCGCCCGCCCGCCCGCCGCGCCCCCGCCGGCCCGCGCGCCGCGCGCCACCCCCGGCGGCCGGCCCGGGCGCCGCGCGGGGGCTCGAGGCGCGGCCCGGCCGCCGGCGCCCCCGCCGCCCGCCCCGCCCCGCCCCGCCCCGCGCACTCACCCGGCGCTCTGCGGCCGAGGCCGGCGGGCGGGCCGCGCTCCCGGGCCGGCGGGGCCGGGGCTCGGGCGGGCTGGGGCCGCCTGCGCGGGCCGGGGAGCGCGCGGGGAAGGCCGGGCCGGACCAGGCTCGGGATCGCCGCCGCCGCCGCCGCCGCGCCACAGACGTCACATGATGTTTGGTCACGTGGGCTCCATTCATGAAGCGGCGGAGCCGCCGGCCGAGACTTAAAGGGGAAGGCGCGGCGGCGGCCGGGGGCGGGGCGCGCTCGCACTGCGCCTGCGCGCCGGGCGCCGTCGCCCGGGCAACGCGCGCCGCGCGCCGCGCCCGCCGGGTCTCGCGGGATTGACCGGCGCGCGCTCCCGGCCCCGCCCCGCCCGCCGGCCGCGTCCCCGGGCGGGTCCGGCGGCGCGCGCCCGCGGGGGCCCCGGAGGGCTCGGGCGGAGGCGCCGCGGGGGTCGTTCCGCGGCGGGACGGGACGGGCGTGGGGGTCCCGCGGGAGGGCCTGGGGAGGGCGCCCCGGCCGCGACCCCGCTCCTGAGCTCCGCGCGCCGCGGAGGCCGGGCCCGGGCGTCCAGCCTCGCCTGCCAGCGTCCGTCCCGCGCTCCGGGAGTGAAGCCCGCAGGGCGGCCTGGCGCGCTCGGGGCTCGTCCCCGGCAGCGGGCGCTGGGCCTGGAGCCGGGCAGGGGGCGCGGCAGGCGGTCCACTCCGTGCTGCTGGCCCCTGGCCTGGGCACGTCGGTCTGGGTGGGCCTCGGTGTACCCTGGGCGTGACCTAAGAGCCCGAGGCCGGGACTTCAGTCCTGCCGGCCAGGCTGACCCTGACTCCCGCCGCCGTCCCGTGCCCCCACTTACCCATGCAGGTGGCAGCTCACGCCCTAGGGGGTCCTGTGGGGGCACAGCATGCTGGCCGCCCCCCAGCACGCCAGGCCTGCCACTGGCCAGTCCACAGCTGGCCCCAGCCCCACACAGAGCTGGGCTCACCACCCGCCGTGGGGAAGGGGCCGGGAATCAGAAGCCACCCTGGCAGACGCCACCTCCTTATCCCCACCCCCTTTGCGCCCCTCCAACTCCACACACCACTGGGCTTCGCGTCTAGGTGGACCGTTGGGTACGAGGCCCTGCAGCAAGGCAGACCTCGGCCCAGGCCCCCGTGACCCCCCTCCCGGGGCACCACCATCACCTGGGTGCTCCCCACACCCTACAGATGCCCAGTCCAGCTCCTTCCTCCCACGTCCGCATGCACGTGTTCGTGTGTGTGCAGGCACATGCACACATGCACACGTCTGCCCTCTAGCTCAGGGGCTGTTGATGAACAAGTGTGAGCACTCGGCCCATGAAGGGTCCTGACCCTCGCAGCTCCTCTGACCGCATGATGGTTAATTTTATTTATTTTTAATATTTATTTTATGAAGGTAAGTTCTGTTTTGTTTTCTTTTTGTGTAGATCTGGGGTGCAGGCCAGAGGTGCAAGGGTGAGAGGACCCACCAGAGACAGAGCAGGGAACAGAACAGGGGGATCCACTGAAATGCACTGCTGAGGGAGCAGTGGGGAGATGGGAGAGGGCTGCTGCGCCCTGTGGGTCACTCCCTGGCCGGGGATGGACTCAGCCACCGCGGTGACAGCCTGACACAACCCCCATCACTGGGAGGCCCAGTGATGGTTAATTTTCCTTTTTTTTTTTTTAAGATTTATTTATGCGTACAAGAGCTGCGGGCACAGGCCAGAGATGTGGGGGGGTGAGAGGATTCACCAGAGACAGAGCGGGGAGCAGAACAGGCAGACTGACTGAAATACACTCCTCATGGGAGCAGCGAGGGAGACAGGAGAGGTCTGCCGCGCCATGTGGTTTCTCCCTGGCCAGCCAGGGATTGAACTTGTGCTGCAGAGGCTGCAGACAGCTTCATGGTGCAGTGCTTAACCCCCTTGCGCCCTCAGGGAGGCCCGATGGTTAATTTTCTACGTCAGCTTGATGGGGGCTTGGGCCGCCCAGGTGTTTGGTCAAAGATCATTCTGGGCACCAGTAAAGCAACACTCGGGCATCGGGTAGACGAGCAGGTGGGCGCCACATGGACGGGCCTCATCCAGTCAGCTGCAGGCGAGCGCAGAAGCCCACCTTCCCGTGCAGAAACCCGCCTTCAGGCGTCCCGGGCCCCACCCCCAGCCGCGCCTTTGAGCTGACATGTCCACTCCCTCTGGCCGGGGCTGGTGGCCACCCGCAGGCAGACCCGCTGGGCTCCTCCCGCCAGTCAGCACTTGCAAACCAACCTCTTCCTGGTGCAGCTCTCTTCAGCGTTGTCACACTCTCGCCAGCCACCGCACCCGAGTCCAGCCCCATCCACACCCACTGTGCCTGTGGGACCATGCAGGACGCATGTCCTCTCACTGGCTCTCTGGGCAGCCCTGAGGACCTCTCCCTACAGCTGGCACCGCCCCTGCGCTAGGAGACCAGGGCTCCCACTCACAAAGCCTGGGGGCCTGGGCAGGCCCCTCCCAATGCGCGCCCAGCCCAGCCTCCCTGGGGACCACGGCCTCTGGGCTGGTGCCTCAGGAGCCCCCACAGGGCCAGCGCCCCCGGCCTGCAGTGCTGCTTGCCACCAGCACACTCTGCTGCCGGGGCCCCGTGGGGCAGGCGGGGCTCCCTCCACGTGTGCCCACAAAGTGAGAAGTCGGGGTGCTGGGGCTGGAATCTGATGTATTTACCAAGAGGCACAGGAGAGAGGGGCAGCGCCTGCGGCCGGGCGGGGGAGACGGCTGGAGTGTGCTGGGTCGTGGCTTCGGAAGTTCAAGTGTCTGACGGGCCCTTTCCTCAAAGGCCAAGGGGCCCCGGGGTGGTCAGATGCTGGTGAGAGCCGGGTCCCCTGGGTGCCAAGGACCCTCGTGTCCTTCCCTGGGGAGGTGGCTTCTCCGGGCAGGGCAGGCAGAGGCTGGTGGGGCGCGGCCCCCTCCTGGGCCGGCGGGTGTCAGGTGTTCATCTCTGCGCTCAGGAAGCGGCTGAGCCCTGAGCCCGCTGGTCTGGGCCGTGGCACCCAGGCTCGGAGCCGGAGGGAGGCGGCCCCACAGAGCTTTGAGGGCGGAGGAAGAGGGTGGAGGGTGGACAGTCTGGCTGACGCGGGGAGGACCCCGGTGGGAAGTGACGGACCCCTGGGGTGGGCACAGCCGCGGGCAGTGGGGCACCCTGTGGGGTCGAGGGTCAGAGGCGCGAGGCCCCGAGAGCAGCAGCAGCAGGGCCGGTGGGCTCGATGCCTCAGTCCTTCTGGCCTGCTGGGGCCAGGCCTCAGGGGGGCAGCTTGGCATGGCCAGAGGGGGCCAGTGAGGCTCCCGGAGGGGAGTCCAGCTTCACCTTGTCCAGGACGGTCTTCTTGATGGCCGCTGGAGAGACCTCCTCCTGGTCAGCCATGGCCTGCAGCTCCCTGCGGGGCAGCGAGGACAGTTGGCTGCAGGGGTCTTCCCCGTTAGAGCCCACGCACCAGCAGCGCCGAGGGGGGTGGCCCTGACCCCCCACCTGTGGATGCTGCCCCCCCCCAGTCCAAGCTGACTGATCCGCCAGTGTGGACGCTGGGCCCCCCGGCTGGGCCCCACACCAGTGCCGCGGGGGTCCTCCCCGCTGTGGGAGGCAGCCCTCACTCTGCCCCGTGAGGGCCCTAGGCCCAGCGGGGCCAGGAGGGACGGGGGCCCACCGGGTGCGGGTGCAGGAGGCCTGCACGGCGTCGATGAGCAGCGAGCGGAAGCCCCCGCGCTCCAGCACGTGCAGGGCGTGGACGGTGGCCCCGCCGGGGGAGCAGACGTTGTCCTTGAGCTGGCTCGGATGCTGTTCTGAGTCCAGCAGCATCTTGGCGGCCCCCTGCGGCCAGAGAGGGGGGCCGTTGGCTTGGGTGGCACCCACCGCCCTGCGGGGCTCTGCCCCACCTGCTGTCTCTACCGTCTGCGACCTGGCGGGGAGGCCCCCAGGGCATCATGAAAACACTGACCAGCAGGGCCTGGGCCCCCAGGCGAACTGCCAAGCGCCTCGGAAGCCCCATCTTCACTCCACCGTCGGCCAGGGCGTCCAGGGCCATGAAAGCCTGCGGGGAGAGGGCTCATGAGCGCTGGCCTTCCTCCCGCACAGGGTGGGGCCCAGCAGCGCGGGCGGCCGGGTGGGGAGGGGGGGCAGTGGGGGCAGACGGGGGGGGGGCAGGGAGGCCGCCCCAGGCTCACATAGGCAGGGCCGCTGCCACTGAGCCCGGTGACCACGTTGATCAGGTCCTCCTCCACCTCCGCACAGAAGCCCACGCTGCCCAGGAGCTGCTCCAGGAGCCGGCCGTCTTCCACCTGGGCGTGGGTGCCCGTGGCGTAGACCGTGGCGCCCTCCCGCACCGCCACGGGCGTGTTGGTCATGCAGCGGATGACTTTGGGGGCTGGCTGGAACGCCGCCAGCTTCTGGACGGGAGATCGGCGCCAGCGCCACCCCGCAGGGCCCCAGCTCGGGTGAGCTTGCCGCCCCTGCAGCCGAGCACCCGGTGGCCAGAGGGTGGCGGCCCCGGCGCCCCCAGCACGCGCCACCCCCGCCGGCACCCACCTTCTCGATGGAGCTGATGGTGACGCCGGCCGCGCAGGACACCACGACGTGCCGGGCCTGGACGTCGGCGCCGATCTCGTCCAGGATGAAGGGGATGATGTGCGGCTTCACCGCCAGGAAGAGCACGTCGCTGTGCTGCACCGTCTCTTTGTTGTGGGGTGTCAGGTTCACCCCCATCTTCTGCAGGGAGTGCCAAGGCCGCTCAGCCTGCCCCGCCTCCCCCCACATAGGCCGGCCCAGAGGCTGCCGCCCGTGGGGCTGTGTTAATGAGAGCCCGGTCGCCCCTGCCCCCGTTCTGCCCCCGCGCTCCCGTTGGGGGTCCTCCTGGGGGAGACCCAGGCCAGCACGCCCCGCCACCAGCTGCACCCACACTGTCTCCCAGGTCTGAGAGCTGAGCGCGGGCCGACAGCACCCCGGGAGGGCGGGAGACACTCGGCCTGGGGCCGCCTCTCACCGGCGCCCCATCTGGAGCCGCTCCCCGCGCTGGGCTCTCCAGGGCAGGGCTCTGGCTGCCCCCCATCCCTGAGCAGGCCCCACCTACCCTGAGGGCAGAAACCGTGGCAAGGTCCATGTCCGGGCAGCTGGCCGTTATCCTGTGAGCGGCCAGGACGCCTGTGGGGACAGAGCTCCTCCCTCACCACCAGCCCTGGCCTCCCGCCCCAGCCCCAGAAGAGTGGAACCTCCGCCGGCCAGGACGAGGCCGCAGTCTGTGCCGTGGGGCCCCAAGTTCTGGCTTTCTCTTTCTCCAAGGGCTCAGGTGGGCCTGTCCCGGCCCCCTCAGCAGCCCCACATGCAGGGGGCAAAGGGTGCCCCCCCCGCAACCCGAGGGCGCCCACCTGCAGCTGTGAAGCCCCTGGCCAGGGCAAAGGCCAGCTGGCCAGCCCCGATGAAGCCCACGCTCATGGTGTCCGGCGCCCGGCTGGCAGCTGGCGCCCGCAGGATCCGGCCAGGAAGCTAGGTGGGCAGTGCCAGGCGCCCCGCCGGCCGCTCCACTCGGTGGATCTTTCTCCTGCCCTGGACGCCCGTCCTGCTGCGCTCGCCGCTTGGAGCCCCGCGGCCCCGCCCCTCCCGCGCCCCGGCCAATGCGCGCGGCCGCAGCCGGCCAAGGGGGGGCACACCCCGCGCCGGGAGGTTGCATCATCCGCTCTCCGTGGCCGTCCCCTCCGCAGGCCGGGGCCCCCAGCACCCCTCCCGGGCTCGCGAGACCCCGCCTTCTGGATCCCTGGGACCCCAACCTCCGGGACCATCAAGAACCGCCATCCCTGAGACCCCCGACTCTGGACCCCCTCCCTCCAGGGTCTGCACCCCCAGGCCCCGGCCTGTGGACACCGCCGGCCTGTGTTCCCTGGGCAGAGGGCGCCCAGGGGGGCTTGCGGGGGCGAGGCTGCCACGTGGACACCAGCCGCCTCTGTTCTCAGACAAATGGGGTACAGCGTTCTGTCCCCCACGTCCCCTCCAGACAGCGCCTTCGCCAGTGCCTTGTCGCCTGTTCCCAAGCGGAGGTGGGCTTGGAAACAACTGGCCGGAGTAGCCGGCCAGCACTGTATTTTGGCACACTCAGGTCTGGGGGAGCTGGTGGGGAGGCCCGGCAGCCCCTCTTCCCCTGGGGCCCTCCTGGGAGACCCCCGGCTGGGGCGGGCACTTGGGCGCAAAGACAGTCCTGGCGGCTCTCTGGCCCCCAGGTTGTTCCGCAGGGTCTGTGAGTCTGAGCCTGGGTTTCCGGGGCAAAGCTGCACTGCCCCCCGGGCCCACGCTAGGCTGTCTGGGGGTCCAGCCTGCGTGCGGGTGGCGGCCGGCAGCGAGGCCAGGGCGGCGGCGGGCAGAGACCCCAGCTGCATCCCTCTGGGAGGCCCAGGCACTCAGGGGCCCCTGGGCCAGCGCAGGAACATGCAGGGTGGACACAGGCCCAGGCCCCCCAATGCCCCCAGGGTCCAGGATGCCCTTCAGGGGCGGCCCAGACTGCAGCCCACAACCTGGGTGCTGCCCTGCGTCCCCGCTGCGGTCAGAGCAGAGCCTGCTGTCACACTGGGCTGCTTCGAGGGAAGGACAAATAACTTCTCTCTCCCGCTCAGGACCCTTAACGGGGAGAGTGGACGGCCACCAGGGGTGGATGGCCACTGGACAGTGGGGAAAAGGGGCGCTGCAGGCAGATACTCTGGCCAGTGTTTGGCCGGAGAAGGAAGGCCAGTCCCTGGGAGCTGAGGGCACGTGGCCATGACCGCAGGCCCCCGGTCCTGCCCTCTCTCCAATAGCGTGGCCTCTGGACACCAAACCAGAAGCACCACCCCCTGCAAGTAAAGGACAGTGAGCAGACCAGCCGGTCCTGTGGGCTGGCTCCCCGGAGGGCAGGCTGGGCCCTGGCCACCCCTCTGCTCAGCAGGCCAGCCCCGGGCCCTCTGGGGAGGCCGTGTCACAGCAGCCCTACCCAGGGCCCCAGAGTCACAAGCGTGGCACCTACCCTGGCCTGCCCCTCCTCCAGAGACTGCCCCCAGCTCCCAGGGCCCTGGCGCCCCCACAGCCACCTCCACTCCCATCAGGGCCTGCAGGGGCAGCCACAGGTGCGGGCGACCACCCACGGGGCAGAGACGGCTGGCCAGAGCCAGGGACAGGTCAGCACTGGCATTTATTTCCCGCACAAGGGCCTGGGCCACAGAGCTGTGCTCAGGGCGCGGGGGCCGCCCAGCCTGGGCTCTTGCGCAGGAGAACGGCTGAAGCTCGCCGGCTGGTTGTCGGGTGGCTGGCTTGTGGGCCCTGGCCGCCCCCTGGCCTCCCAGGTCCACGCAGGCACTGCAGGAGCGGGCCGGGCCAGGGCCTGGCGGGACCCGGCTTCTCCGGGGGCCCTGTCGCTTCCTCTGCCCCGGAACTGTCCCTTCTTGAGTTCGTAGGTTATTGGCCCAGAAGCAGCCCCAGGCGCCTCCTGACCCCTAGTCTTGGTGTCCCCTCCACAAAAACTCTTGCCTATCATGCGTCACACTGACCGCTCAGACTCGGGGAGGCCTGGGATGGACAGTGGCAGGGACAGAGGCGGGTGAGCGGTACAAGGGGGAGGCAGATGCGGGAGAGGCGGGCGCCCGGAGGGGGACAGAAGAGGCAGGCTCGAGGGTGGGGGCCGCGCCGGCCTGCGTGTGCCCTGTCCTCCGTCCCCTCCCCCTAGGGCTCTGGGGCGCTGAGCTGGCCCTCCGTTGCCCCTGCCGCCCACTCCCCTGGGGCCTGGGTTCCGCTCACCCTTGAGGTCCCGGAGCCCCCGGAAGCGGCTCAGGTGACCGGCCGCTGCCTGCCAGGCTAAAGGGCGGCCACGAAGCGGATCCGCTGGGAGTAGGCGAGGTCAGCCACGTAGAGCAGCAGGTTGACGTAGGTGAAGATGGCCACCACCAGCTGGCTGTCCCAGGCGCAGTCTCCGGCCCGACAGTTGGGGGGCCGCCGGGGCTCCCCGTACTTGGGGTCGAAGCAGAAGACTGGCCAGGTGACAGCGGCGCTGAGGTAGAGGAGCACGGCCAGGAAGGTGTACACCACCACCAGCCGCTCGAACGGGCAGCCCAGGCCCCCCGTGTGGCCCAGCACGCTCAGGGCCACCACGGCCACCGTGGCCAGGAAGCACAGGCTGTAGACGGCCACGCACCACTGGGTGGCCACGTAGCGCCCGTAGCGGCTGTCATGGATCAGCGCCCCGAAGATGATGCAGGCCACGAAGGCCTGGACGATCTTGAGGAGCCCCGACATGGTGGCCATGTAGCTGGCCACCTGGCCGGGCCGGGCCCGGGTCAGGGCCACCTCGACGGCGTAGGCCAGGAAGAGCAGCCCGGCGAAGACGCTGGCGGCCAGGCGGAAGTCCCTGGCTGTGCAGCCGGCCGGCTCGGGCGGGCAGTCCAGCCGCGTGAAGTACAGCGGGTAGATGACGGCGGCCGTGGCGGACAGCAGCGTGGCCAGCATGGCGAAGGCCGCCGTGAAGTTGCCCCAGGACAGGCGCAGACAGCTGTGCAGCCGGGTGAACTCACAGGCCACCACCAGGCCCGAGAGGGCGAAACAGAAGCCCCAAGCGGCCATGCAGAAGGTGCCCTGCGCGCCCTCGAAGCCCCCCCGGTGGGCCACCAGGCTGAAGGTGGCACAGCCGAAGAGCAGCTGCAGCGCCCGGGCCGTGCCCACCGGGGATGCCACGGCCTCCAGGTGCAGGTACCCCCCCCCGGGGGGCTCCATGGTGCTGCCCATCCGGCGGCTGGCCTCACGGTCCCCGCAGAGCGGCGCCCCCAGTCCCTGTCCCGTCCGGCCCTCCGGCGGCCGCCCGCAGCAGCGGCGACAGCGACGCGGGTGACATTGCAGCAGGCAGCCGCTCGGCGCCTGTGCGGGGAGGGCTGGGCCCCCGCCTCGCGCTATAAATAGGCGCCTGCTCTGCGCCTGGGGACAGGGCCTGCGTGCTTGTCCCCAGCCGGGGACACCTGACCGCCTCCCGGCCCAGCCCCTGCCAGGAGGGAGCCCCTGGCCGGCCGCCCCGCCCCCACCCAGCAGACTGGCTCGTGGCCTGGGGGAGGGGTCCAGAGCACTGAGCTGTGGGGTCCCCGGCTCAAGAAGGCCAGGTCCCGTGCAGGGGAGGGGCACAGGGAGATGGGGGTCCCCCAGAGCTCCCTGGGGGCAGTGTGGTTTGGAGTGGGCTGTCCCATGGGAGGGTGGGGGAGCTGCCCCAGCACCAGCCCCCACCCCGCCCCCACCCCGCCCCGGCCCTGCCCTGGGGGTCGGGTGTTTCTTGGCCAGACGTTTATCTGTCCCTCCTTGACTTGTCGACACCTAGAAAAACTTGTCTCTCATTTTTTGGTTAAAACACAATAATTGGAGGGTTTCTGCAAATGAGAAAATGTCCGACACCCCACGCAGTGGCCACCTTGGCCGACCGGTAAACCCACCCGGGGCCAGCCACTGGCCAGGGATCGAGCGGGGGCCCCAGCGACAGCCTGAGACTGACCCTCAGGGGCTGTCCTCCCCCGAGACTGACCCCCAGGCCAAGGGAGGCCCCTGCACATCAGCTTTACCCTCGGGCTTGCCCTAAACAGGGTCTGTTTTCGCTCCTTGTCAGTGTTCCCCCCACCTCCCTGCGCCCATGTCAGCTCTTCTGCCTGCTCCACCCGTGCTCCTGGGCCTGTCCTCTCAGACGAGAGCTGAGAGGCCATGGCGCTGTCATGGCCGTGCTCTCACACGAGTGCCGCCCCCTGGAGTGCTCCAGACCCGCTGCCCAGGGCGCTGGCCGTCCTGTGCCAGGGGGCCCTGAGGTCCAGGGCGTAGTCTTTGCCCCCTACTGACCCATGTTTCCATTCCCTAGACTTGCCCTGCCGGAGCTGAGAACTGCCCTGCAGGCCGGTGGCCCTGCTGGTGGCAGTGGGCTCTGCCAGGCTTTGGGGGGTGTCTGCTGCAGAAAGGAAGCAAGGGCATGAGAGCGGAATGGGGTGCTGGGGGAGTGACCTCGGAGGACACGGAGCCTGCCCAGAGAGGCGCTGGGCACGGGCAGGAGGGCAGGTGCTCAGGAGATCCAGGGGTGGCCAGAGCTGCGGAGGGACGGCAAGCGGTGGCTGCAGTGCCCTGAGGGCAGCTGCTGAGACAAAAGGCTGCCACTGGGTCCTGCCCAGGCCTGCGTCTCCCCATGAGGGGGACCTTCCGACAGCCCCAAGCCCGGGCACAGGGTCAGCCCGAGACCCTGCTACATCTCTGGCCCCCAGAGGCCCAGCTGTCCCATTTGGGGGGCCCCGAGGGATGACTGCTGACTTGGGCTGCTCCTTCTTCAGGCCTCCCAGGAGGGTCGGGGCAGAGCTGCCAGGCAATGGTGAGCTCCCAAGGAGAGGGGGCCGGGAGGCCCCAAAGGGCCCCCCAACTGCCTGGAAAGGTTTCCCCGGGAGGAGGGCGCCCCATGCTGAGCCCCACAGGTCACGGGTGGTGCTGTGTGTGGGGGAGATATTAGCTTGGTAGGCTGGAAGCAGGCGGTCCCGTGGGCACCCGACTTGTGGGGGCCGCAGGATTTCACCCAAGGAACAGCCCTCCCCACGTTGGTGACAGTGACCGGGAGGCTGGCTCTTGGCAGGACCGGGGACAGGACGAGCCCAGGCACGCAGGAGGCGGCTCCGGCCGACCAGGGCGCCACCAGGCCACACGCTCCCCCCCGCCCTCACTGCTGCCCGCCCGGGTCACGCCCCGCGGCTTCCGAGGCCGCGTGGAACTGCAGCAGGCTCTGGGAGAAGCGAGGGCCCCCCTGAGCGGCCGTGGTGCCCAGATGACACCGCACCCTTGGGTGCTGCCCCGTGCCTCCCGGTCAAACCCAGGGCTGCCAGAGGCGTGGGCGGTGCCAGGTGGACCCGGGCCTGGGAGCGAGGGTGCCGGCCTCTGAGACCTCGCCCCGCTGGCTGGAGGCACAGCCAACCAGGTCCCCCCTCCACCCCCCAGCCCCACTGCAACTGCCTGTTGTTTAAAACAAAAAGAACGTTCCAAAATGTTACCATTGATCATATATTTCTTGGTTATTTCATATTTAAAAAATTAAAGTAATAAAAAAGTCACTTCATAAAATAATACAAAAGGGCAGGAGAGGCTGGCGTGGGTGGGCGGGCGGGCGGGCGTCCAGACACGGCCCTGCCAGGGGGACTAGCCCCCGCTGCTCAGCAGCCCCAGCAGCTTGCTGGGCTCCAGGCCCTGCTGCTGGGCCACCGTCTGCACGTCGAAGCCCATGTGCATGAGGAACTGGGCCACGTTCATCTCCTGCCCCGTGAGCTGGTCGCGGATGGTGGGGCAGGAGGGGTTGCAGTGGGGCCAGGGGCAGCTGTCCACCAGGTGCACGGGGCAGCCCTTCAGGGGGGCCTTGCCGGCCCTGTGGCCCTCATGCAGACTTCTGTCCCAGCAGTGCAGCGCCCGGGGCAGCGAGGTCCCCTTCACCTGGACGTCTGTCCAGTGGCTGCAGACGAAACCCAGGTGAGGGCCGGCGGAGTGACCCGGGACGACCGGAGCCGCCGCGCTGGCCGCACAGCAGGTGGCTCACCGCCACGGGAGCCTCTCTACGGAGGCGGGGCGGGCGAGCGGCCGGCAGGGCAGTCTAGGCGACACTGACCTTCGGATGATGATCTCGTGAGAGAGGCAGGCGGGGGCGAAGCTGGCCCTGTGGGGGGATGTGGACGCTGTGGGCCCACACCCCTGCCCCACCCACTGCTCCGCCAGCCCCGGCCCCCGGCCCCACCAGCCTGCCTGCTCCCCGTTCCCTGCTCCTTGGGTCCCCTGCTGCCTCCTCCCGGCAGGCAGCCCGGCAGGGGAGAGGGAGTGTTTGGCTCGTGTCAAATCTGAGCAGAAGCGCGGGGACTTCTACACCCCACTGGCCGCACCCCATGGGCCCTCTGCCAGGACCCACTGCACCGGACAGGCCCATGTCTGCAGGGGCCACACCGGCGGGCCCGGGGGTGTGGGCCAGTGGTGACCACACGTGCCCCCAGGACAGAGCCGGGGAGGGTCCCACTGCCCACCCCACTCGCCCCTACATGGTCTCACTGGCCCTGCCCAGGTCACAGGGCTGGCACTGCTGTGGCCCCTCTCCAGGCTGCCTCCCCCCATGCTGGGCCGTGTCAGGGCCCCTGTGCGTGCCTGGCTCCTCAGCTTGGCCCTGGGCCTGCAGCCTTGCCAGGGCCTGGCTGGTGTCCGGCTCCGGCCCCACCGCCCCCGCCGGCCCCGCGCCTGCCCGGCCGCGTCCACTCACGGCACGTCCTTGAGCGTGTGCCTCAGCTCGCGGCCCAGGCTCTGGATGTACAGCCACTGGGCCTCCTGCACCGGCTGCCCCGCCAGGTGTGCGTTGTCCACGGTCAGCTGGGCCTCGTCAAACAGCCACTGCACCACGAACACCGGGCCTGGGGGTGCGGGGCCCTGAGGGTGCGGCGGGGCCTGCCCCCGCCCGCGGCCCGCCGGCTCCCCCCCACCCCGTGTCTGCCCCCCACCGCCGCGGGGCCCCCGCACCCCGGCGCGGGGCTGGCAGCGTGGGCCCAGCGCCAAGCAGGGTGCAGCCGAGGCGCCCCCCTGGAGACCGAGCGCCCATCGGCAGCGGGAGGGGGCACCCCGGGCAAGGGAGGGCCGCGGCCTCCCACCGGCCGCGGGTCGGGCAGCTGCCCTCGGGCGGGCTTCGCAGCGGGCGCGGGGCAGCCCCGGGGCCACTCACAGCGCAGGGTCGGGAAGACCTTGTAGCCGAAGAAGCAGTTCCACTCGTCGCCCTCCTTGAAGCGGCGCCGGCAGCGCTCCGGGACCACCCCGTTCCAGTACCTGGGCCGCGGCGCAGGTTAGGCGGCCCCGGCGCCCCGCCCCGCCCGCCCGCCCGGCGCCGCGCACCTGATGCCCCGGCGGATGGCCTCGGTGGGCGCGCAGGTGACCGTGTCCACGCAGTCCGTGCGGCGGTACTGCTTGTTGTCCAGGAACCAGCCCGAGTCGGCCAGGCCCCGCACCTGGATGGCGGGGTAGCCCAGCCCCTCCAGCTGCTCGGCCACGCGGTCCACGTTCAGCAGCACCCCTGTGCCCCCGGCGCTGCGGGAGGGGAGACCGGGTGGCCGGAGGGACGCTTGCCCCCCAGCCCCGGGCACGCCGGGCACTGCCCGCTCCCCACAGCCGGGCGCAAGGCTCCGGGCTCGAGGTCAGGCCATCCTGCTGCCTCCCGCGCTCCCTGCCCGTCCCTCTTTCGCTCTCTGCCTCAGTCTCCCTACGGAAAAGGAAGATGGGCTACCGGCCCAGTCCCCTTGGGCCGTCTACAGATGTCCCCGGGGTGCCCAGCACCTGCTGGGCTTCGTGACCAACGAGGCGTTCCTGCCCGCCCGGCCCTGGGCCCTGAGAGGCTGTGCGGGCCCACAGGCCCGGCAACTCCCCGGACCCTGCACACGGCCGGCAAGCCCCAGCGTCCTCCGAGCCCTGCTGAGCCCCGCCGGGGGTGCCCGCGATGCGGCTGCTGCCCAGGCTCGGCCCCTCCTCTCCCTCCACCCCCTCTGCCACCCTCCGCCTGGGCTCAGCCCCAGTCCCGCACGCCCACACAGGCCTCCCCCAGCCCTGCCCGGCCCACCTGCTCCCCGCCAGCAGCAGCACCTTGGCGCCGCCCAGCCCTCTGTCCAGCAGCTCCCGGACCACCTCCTGGATGATGAGGGCGCCCATGAAGGCGTACTCGTCTGTGGGGAGAGGGGTGCTGAGCTGCATGCGGCCCCCACCCCCGTGGGGACAGCGGGGTCGGTGGGGCCTGGGGACGGCCCCAGGCTGGGGGAGGCCGAGGAGGCAGGTCCCAGGCTGCTGCGCCCCTTCCCGGAGCACCGGGAGCGAGGACCCTGCGGGGCCAGCAGGGGCGCGGGAGGCCTGTCCGGGCGGCCCTCCCCGGCCCTCCCCCGCCGGGCTGGGCACTCACTCTTCTCAGGCTTGGGGGACGCCCCGCTCCAGACGTCGCTGGAGCAGTAGGGGATGAAGCTGCAACACAAGGCGCGTGGGTTGCCTCTGGTGCCGGCCAGGACCCCGCGCCCTCCAGCCGCGCCGCCTTACACCATGTTGGCGTTCCACCAGTGCGGGTTCTCCTCGGGCTGGGAGGACAGGATCCCCGTGCCTGCGGGGGGACAGGGCGGTGGGCCCTCTGCTGGGGGCGCGGGCCGGGGCTGCAGGGCGGTGTGGGGCCGCTGGTGGCCGGGGAGGTGGCAGGACAGGCCCGTCGCCCCGGAAGGCACGCGGCGAGGATGCCCAGCCAGGCTGCTCACCCCCCGCCCCGGGAGCGCAGGGAGCCGCCCGGGGGTGCCCCCCAAGGAGTGGAGGCAGAGGCGGACTTCCACAGGCGCGGGCGGGGGGGCGCCGAGGGGTGCCGACCTGTGCGGGTGCGCGGCCAGTCTCGGGAGCTCATGAGGCGCGGCACGGAGGCGAAGCGCGCGGCGCAGCTCTCCGGGCTGAAGCAGTACCAGCCGCCTGCGGGCACAGCGGTCAGGCCGGCGCGGGGCCCGGGGCCCGCCCGCCCCGCCGCGGACACGCACCTTCCAGGAAGAGCAGCCAGCGCCGGCTGCCCCGGGACTCCTTCAGGTAGTAGCTGCAAGGGCGCCCCGTGAGCCGGCCGCGCGGGGGGGGGGGGGGGGGGGCCACCTGTCGCGGGGCGCGCCGCGGCCTCACGGGGGCGCAGGCGGCCGGGCCGACGCGGGCCGGCGGTCCCGGGAGGGGGCGCTCGCGCGGAGGCCGGGCCGTGCCGGGGGAGGCGGCGCGGAAAATCCCCGCGGCCCGCCCCGCGCGGGCCCCGCGGCGACCCCGGCGCCGGCCGGGGCGTCTCGGGCGGCCTCGCCCCGGGGACCCGCCGCGGCGCTCCGAGGGCGCGCGGGGGGCGGGGGGCGGGGGGCGCGGGGGGCGGGGCCGCCGCGCCCCCGAGCCGCCCCGCCGGCCGCGGCCCCGGCCTCGCGCGCGCCGCGCCTCCGCGCCCCGCCGGCCTCCGCGCGCTCCCCGACGGCCGGGCCCCGGGCGGCGGGGGCGGCGGGGGGGCGGCCGGCCTCGCCCCGCGCCCGCGGAGCCGCCTCCCGCCGGGGCCGGAGGGCCGGAGTCCGGGCCGGGCGCGGCCGGAGCGGCCCCCGCGCGCCGAGCCGCCGTCGGGGCCTCCGCGGGCGGCGCCTCGCCGAGCCGAGGGCGCCCTTCCCGGCCGCGGCCGGCGCGCTCCGGCGGGGCCGGGCCTTACCCGGCGGGGCTGCCGTCGTTGCAGGTCACCGAGGCGTTGGCCAGGAGGTGCAGGCGCAGGGCCTCGTCCAGCTGCTGCGCCGAGCAGGGGTACAGGGACTGCGCCAGGCTCTTGACCTGCGCCATGAAGCTGTCCATGTTGCCCTCCACGGCCGTGAAGTCCAGCGGGAAGCTCTCCACGGGCGGCGCGGCGGCCGGCGCCGGCTCGGCCCGCGGCGGGGGCGGCTGCTGGCCCCGGCGCCGCCAGCCCTTCCTGCCCGCGCCGCCCCCGGCCCCGTGCAGCAGGCCCAGCAGCAGCAGCAGCAGCGCGCCCACCCCCGCGCCCATGGCCGCGCCGCCGGCCACCTGCGGAGAGCGCGGCCTGAGAGCGGCGCCGGCCCGGGCGCCCGGCGGGGCCTGCGCGGAGGCGCGGCTGGGCGTCGAGGCGCGGCGGGCGCCGTGGCCTCCGCGCTCGGCTCGCGCGGCCGGGAGGGCAGCGCAGGGTCTGGGCGCGCCGGCTCGGGCCGCGCCAATGAGCGGCGGGGGCCGGGCGGGGCGTAGTTTGCGGGGGCCGCGCGGCCGGGGCGTGAGATGTGCCGCCGCCCGGCCGGGGAGGGGGCGCCCGCCGCGCTCTTGGCGGAGGCAGCGCCTTTTCTTCCCAAACCGCAAGCCTGACGGAGGGGCCTGGACTCCCCGCCGCGGCCGCCGGAGGCGCTCCCGGCCCGGCTCCGTGGGGGGCAGCGCGGCCCGGCGGCCCGGCGGCTCCATTCACCGCGGGCCAGCGCGGCGCCGCCAAGGCCGCCCCGCCCGCCCGGCCCCCCGGCCCCCCCCGGCCCCCGGCGGCCCCGCCCGGCCCCCCCCCCGGCCCCCGGCGGCCCCGCCCGGCCCCCCCCCCCGGCCCCCGGCGGCGGGCAGGGGCGCGGGGCCGCGGGACGCCGCCGGGCGGGTCCGCGCGGGGGGCGCTCGGCCAGGGGCGCACGCCGGGCGCTCGCGCTCACCTGAGCCTCGGGGCTCCCCCGACCCCGCGGGCGGCCCGGACCCCGCCCCGCCCCCGCCCGGGCCCGGACCCCGCGCTCACCGCCGGCCCGGCTGCTCCGAGTGGCCCGCCCGGCGCCGTCCGCCCGCGCCCGCCGGCTCGGCGGCGCTGCCCCTCCGGCGCTGGCGCGGGGCCGCCGGGACTTTTATCCCGCCGGGCCGCGGATCAAAGCGGCGCGGACACAGGGCTCCGCGCGAGGGCCCCCGAGGACGCACAGGTGTGGCCGCCCGGCGCCCCAGCCCCGGGAGGGCCCCGCGCCGGCCCGGCCACCGCGGGGAGCGCCTGGCCCGGCCCCTGGCCCGGCCCCTGGGGGACGCGCTGGCGGCGGGGGCGGGGCCCCCGCGGGGGGGGGTCCTCTCGCGCTGGGCGCCGCGGCAGGGGGCTCGAGCGCAGCGGGGGACCCCCAAGAACCCTCTCTCCTGCCTCAGAGGCAGGGCCAGGACGGAAGGTGGCGCAGCCCGGCCATCGCCCCCGCACCCCCACCCCTGCACACCGCCCAGGCACAGAGTGAGGTTCCCTGGCAGGAACAGCCCGGGAGGGGCAGGTGTTTGCTTAGGAGGTTCCTGCTCCGGAGGGAGGTGGGGAGACAAGAGGGAGAAAAGCATCCACTCGCCCTCCACACACACCCGGGGGGCCTCCCGCACACCCCTGCCGCCGGGACAGGACACCACACCCGCTTTAAAGACAGGCCTTGTCTTTGGGGACTGAGGCTCAGGCCGGGGGCAGGGCTTACTGAGCGCACCCCGCCTTAGCTTCGCCCCCGCGGGGTGCAGGGCCCTCAACCCGCGTGGTCTGGCTGCCCCAGCCGCGCCCCTGCACAGGCCCGGCAGGTGGGTCCACACCAGCCGGCAGAGGCCACCAGACAGGGTCCTGGGGCACTGGGTGCTGAACGTGCAGGCGCAGGGAGCGTGCAGGGGTGCAGGGTCAGCACTGGAGGCCAGCTTGGACGGGCCCCGGTGCAGAGTGGCCAGGCCAGGTGACAAGCCCCATGCCCTGGCCGCCGTGGCCGCTTCCCTGAGGAGGGCAACAGAGAAGCTGGTGGGCGAGTCAAGTGCGCGCTGCGTGGGGGCCCCATGCCTCCCCCGCCGTGCCCCACTTACAGGCCTCGCGGGGGAAGGTGCCAGGGGCAGGGCCTGTGACGCGGCCCCAGGGTCTGGCCCACACCCGGGGCTGCTGCCTCTAGAGGAGGCTGCGCCAGGCCCCTGGCGGGCACACGCTCCTGACAGCCAGATACCGAGGCTGACCCGGCCCAGGGACGCCGGGGCAGTGAGGACCCTGCAGGGGCTGCTGGGGACGGAGCCAGTGGGCGCCAGGGGCTGCGTCAGGTGAGCTGGCGCCCACTGCAGTGGCCCCAGAATTCGGTCACTCTTGCTTATTCCACGCCAGTGCGGGAGGGAAGGGGGGCCAGCCCACGTCCCCAGGTGCCCCAGCGAGTTGCTGCTGGCCTCACTCTGCACTGCACCGCACCCCCACCCCCGCCCCTGCACCACCCACCCCCCCTACGGGGCTCCCCCCCCCCACTGTGCTGCCCCAGGACCAGCTTTCCCTGCGCTCAGCAGCCCCTCCCCTCGAGTTTTCAGTTCCCAACCTGGGGTCTGGATTCTTGGGCAGGGCCTGCTCCCAGGCTGCCCCTGGCCCACCGGGCGCTGGGGCTCTGGGTGAGCAGTAGTGGGCCAGGTGCCCCTCACCCCCACCAGGACAGCGGCAGGGAGAAACAAGCGCGGTGAGGGGCACGCCTGGGGAAGGGGCACCATGGGGCAGCCGCTACGCAAAGCAGATCGGTGGTTCCTCAGAAAACTGCAGTCCTCAGGTCACCCAGTAATTCCGTCCCCAGGCATGTGCTTGAAAGACCCCAAAACTCGAGCACTCAGGACGCTTTGTTCACGGCCACAGGGGCTGAGGAACTAGCCACCGAGCAGGAGACGGGTGGGGCCCGGATCCTCGGAGGAATACTACTCAGCCCTGAGCAAGGACAAGCTCCGGCTGGTGACACTCAGCGAGGGGCTGTGCGCCAAGCGGAGTGCCCACTGGCGAGTGCGGGTTTCCTGGGGCCGGGGCACGTCCCACCCGGCGGGGTGGCGCTCGCCCAGCGCCAGGAGCGAGACATCTGGACTGCTGCACTTGGTAATGGCTGCTTTATACCAAATGTGATGTTACTTCCATAAAAATTATTAACCCCCCAAATCAACACCTGATTTTTACAAAATAAAAAAGCCATCACCGAAACCCAGAACAGGGCCGGCGGGTTGGTGGGTGCATGACACGGGCAGGTGAGCAGAGAGCCTGGTGCATGGGGCGGGGGCGGCGGCAGCACACCTGCACCCTCCCACCCCGCCACGGCCATGGCCTGGCGGAGGGCTCTCTGCCTGTGCCAGCTGCAGGGGAGGCTGGGAAGGGGCCGCTGGGGCCTGCTTCAGGAGGGGCGGGGCTGGATAAGGGGTGGGGATAGGCAGGAGGAAGGTGCAGGGGGGGAGCCAAGGTCCCGAAGGGCAGAGAGGTGACCAGCGGGTGTCACAGTCCAGGCACTTCCCGAAGACAAGCACTGGGCCCTGGGGCAGGTGTGGGGCTCAGACTGGCCAAGGGGCCCGGGCAGGGAGTGGCACCGGTCCTCACCTGGGGCCATGCGAGCTCCCACATGGGGTAACCTGGCCCGAAGGCAGGGGCTCTAGATGTCCAGGCCTCTCCCCTGGCCTCATGTGGGCTGCTTGCTGTCTGCCCAGGCAGGCCTCAGGGCAGGAGGGCTGCTCAGCCTCAGCCGCTGCCTGCAGCCTCCTGGACTCCGCCCGCCATCCGGGCAGCTCTGGCCCCAGCTGCTGGCCTCCGCAGCCCAAGGGGCCAGGGAAGTGGGAGACCACTCCACTCCCCGCCAGGAGCAGTCTCCAGCTCTGAGTGGGAGGGGCTTCACGGTGGGGCGCCAGGGAGCCCATCCATCAGCTGGCCCCGGCCTTCAGATCCAGGCTTTGATGAGCAAAGTTGCCTGAGCCCAGGTTCAGGGGTGGGGGCCTGGGGGGCGCCAGGCCCCCAACGACAGCTCCCACGTCTGCCCCAGAGCCTCCCCTCCAGGGACCAGGTGTCTGCAGACCAGGAGGGCTTGGCCTTGGGGTCACGCCCAAGGGGGCAGAGGGGCAGGTGGGGGGGGGGCACGGAGGCTCTGTGCCTCGACAGGGAAGAGGACCAGGATGGGGTTCCGGGGGTGTGATCAGCCCTGGGCGCCCCAGCGGGATCTGAGCATCTCTGGCCCGACCCCCGCTGGGCTGCTGGGCTGTGCTTACAGTGTGATGTGTCAGGCCCGCGGGAAGGGACACATTCCAAAGCTGGGGGCGGGATGGGGCTCCCACACATCTATGGGGTGTCAGGGGTCCCCGGCGGGGGCTCCCCCCGGGCAGGTGAGGACAATCTGGGGACCGAGGCCCGTGCTGGGCAGCCCCGGGAGTCCCCGCAGCCCCGTCCCCTCCATGCAGGCGGCCTGGCCCGGAGGCCCTGCCGGCCACGTGACCTCAGCCCCCCACCCAGTGAGCCGCACGTGGCCTCTGGGGAGGGAGAACCAGCCTCAGATCTCGCCACTGGGAGCCTCCCGGCCAGCGACATCAAAGGGCGGCGGGCGGGGGCGGCGGAAGCTGCTCTTAAAGGGCCACGCCACATTTAACTCAAAGCAGACCCGGCGCAGCCTCTGGGGGGGCGGGGGTGGGGCCGCCCTGCCCCCCGGCCCCCGCAGGGCTGCTCAGAGCCAGCTAGAGGGCAGCTGCGGTCCAGGAGCGCACACCCAGGGCCAGGGTTCTGGAGGCTCGCGCCTCCGCGGGGGGTCAGCACCCTTCTTCCCGGGGGGCCCTGGGCTGACCCGCCCGGCAGAGGGCAGGGGCCGCTTGGAAGCCCCGGCCTGCGTGGCTCGGCAGGGTGCTCCGTCTTGCCTGCCTTGGCCCGGGGTGGGCGCTGGCCCTCCGAAGGGACTGCCTGGCCCGGTCAGGGAGACGCCCAGGCGCACAACTCTGCGCAGGCGGGAAGGGTCCCTGGGTCCCTCCAGGCCTGGACTGGGAGCGGCCGGCAGGCTTGTCTTCCCAGGGCCAGGGCCGGGGGAACCAGCACAGGACCTTGGAGGGAAGAGGGAAGGCGAGGAGGTGGGGGGCGGGGCCAGGCGCAGCCCTTCTGCCTGGAACTCCTGACCTGAGGCCCCAAAGAGCTGTGCTCAGGACACAGC